TCACATCTTCTCTGATCTTCTCTACCATTTCCAAGGCAGAAAAAGACTTACCTTCAAAGAGAGTGAGATTCCTATTTGTCCAAATTCTCCACAAAATCCATGGGAAGCTCTTCCTTAACTCTTCTGGCCAATTGTGATTTGCCGAGTTAAGAAGCAAATGATACATGTTGGAGAAAATTGAACCACCTTCAAAGCCAAACTTAGGAACCGGAAAACCTGATAAACTTACTAACTAAACATGGTGGAATCAACTTTATTCCCCAATTAATATTGTATTTCGTTTTAACTCTTATTGCGTCTGTTTTATAATAATAAGGTTAAAAGTAACTTTTACAAAAAAAAAAAGAAAAAAAAGTTGAAGTTAAAAGTAACTTTCTAATAGTATGTAAAGAATATTGATACGGGAATGAGCAAAAATCATGTATAAATCAGGTTCTTATAAGTAGTGGTTGGGTTAAATGCACTACGACGTATCCTATAGGCTATAACTATAAGTCAAGGAAGCTTGTGTGTGGTTGGAGTTATATGCACCGGTTCAACGTTATCGAGAGCCGTACTCAAAATTAAAAAGTTTGAATGTTATAAACTTATAAACGAAAGAAATAGGAGAAGTTCAATAGTAACATCAAACATAAATATTAATCAACAAAACTAAATTAGAAAAAATAAGTCTAAATTTCATCTTATTAATATTATACGTAAAAAAAAAAATCAGTACTAAATTTTATTTTACTTTAATTTTTCAATTGATTTATAAAATTTTGAACCCTAATCTTTGGTTTGTGTTGCTTATGCTCTGGGTTGGCCATGGATGGAATGCAACTACAACGCATATAAACTACAGAGCAATAATATTATGATCAATTTAATTCAAAATATTTAAGATATACCACCAACAACTTGATCGATATATCATTGATTTATATTACTATTTTATATTAGTGAGTTCGATATATTTGAAATGCAAAATTCTTTTTATCAAAGTACGAAATTTATAACTTAAATATCTTTTAGAAGAGACATATTTATATACTTAAATCTAAGACTTTTTGCAAACAAAAATAATATCTGGTCAAATAAACTTTTACTATGTTCATAAGAGATGAGAAATATCAACTTCAAAACAAATAAACTACAAAATCCAAACAGTTACATTTACATATATATATTTTCTATTTTTATTTTTATGTTATTACAGTAAAACCTCTATAAATTAATAATGTTGGGACCATGATAATTTATTAATTTATAGTGAAATTAATTTATCTATAAATTAATAATTATTAATTTATAGTGTAAATTAATATTTATTAATTTATAGAGAGTTTTTTAAAATTTTAAAAACTTGTTCAAAAAATATGAGAGAAAATAATTTGATCTAAATAAAAGTAATGTTTTGGATGTAATAACTTTGGTTGTTTTATACTTAAATATTTAATATTTAGAAGAAAGACAATTTTTTAAAAACAATAAAAACCAAGATTATAGATACCAAAAAATATGTAACATAGTGACTTCACCTGTTGTATTTGAATGGTCTATATGATTATTCAAATAAAAATTATACTTATTTAAATTTTGAAAACTTACGTAAGGTAGCTATTTTGTGAATAGAAATTCATTTTTAAAAACTACTAAAAATATATTATCTTTATATATATATATATATATATGTAAATTCACATGATTATTAATTTATGATATTACTAGAAATCTGCCCACGCGATGCGTGGGTTATATATTTAATATTAATTCTGGATAATAATAAAATTTGTATTAAAGTAATACGTTCGATTATTAATATATTTTTTGAAAAGAATTTTTTTAAATATTAACTTTTATGTTCCTTTTCGAAGTACTTTTGTGAATTGTTTAAAAATAAATTTTGTTCTTTTTTTATTCAAGATGGTAAATATATACCACTACTTTTTCTTATTTTACATAAAATATTTTATCGTGGAAATATATATATCATACCTCATCGTAGAGTCTCTTGTTTGCTGCTTCATGATCCTTGGATAGGGAATACGGCCAAAATCAACTCCAACTATTTCTATGCGGCTTTTTTTCATCCCAAACTTTGACCCCCGGAACTAATCAACCCGAACTCATACAATTTAAAAAAAACAAACCTAAACTATCTAACCGTTATCCAATTTCAACACAGTTTTTTTTTTTTGTATTTGTTAATGTCAATTAGAATTGTTAAGTCGTAATTATATGTTCTTTTGTATCTGAATCATTCCTTTTATTCAATTGGCTAAAGGTTAAATAATTCAGATTTGTTACATTATTTAATAACAGGTATATGTTAAAATTGACTAATGATTACATAGTTCAAGTTTGTTATTTGATATTTATGTTGTTTCGAGTTGATAATTGGGGTTGATATTGGCCGTTTTCCCTCGTTGGATCTCATCAGAAGGTAGATCTTCCCGATCTCATAACTTTCCCTCGACAATAAGGTTTAGATATTATATCCATATAATCCATAATAAAATTAGGAGATCAAAGGTAAAACATATTCATATTTATTTATTTTTTTGCTAAATTTTATCTTTTTTTGTTAAAAATTTAAATAATTTGTGAGAATGATTAAATTTTATAAAATATCAAGATGGTCCAAATGAGCAAAAATATATTTTATATATGTTAATTTGGGTTTTTCACATCTCTCTCTCCCTTCCGACTCAGCACAGCTAGTCAAAGCTTTAAAATCGGAGCTTCAACACAAGGAGCTTCATGGGATTCTCTTCGATATCCTGAATTTATCTTCTACCTTTGATGTTATTTCGTTTAGTTTCATTCCCGTTTGCAGAACTCAGATGCCGATTCATTGGCAAAACAGTCTCTGGTTTCTCTTGTAATGGGCCTGGCCCAAACCTAAGTTAAATTGAATCAGCCTTTGCGCAAAAAACAAATATATATGTTACACTTAATTATAATCATATTTAATTTAAGAAAATAACTTCAGATGATATAATAAAAAAATTATTTTGAAAGTTTATGTTAAAAAAATTTAGTTCAGTTTTAAAAATCGAAAAACTATTTACTCGAGATATATGAAACTCAAACGTCGATCCCTCTCAAACGTTGAGTAATTATGTAAAAGAAATAAAGAATGGCATAGAGTATTTAGATATATATATATATATATATAAATTCAATTGTTTGAAAACAAAATAAATATGCCATTTTATAAAATTTGTATATATATATATATAGAGGTCATAAGAGTACAAAAATTTAATAAATATAATGTAATGCCGTTTATCTAAATACTTTAATGGCATGTTAGGTTTTAACTTAATTAGTCAATTATGATATTCTATGGAAATGCCCTTAGCAAACATAATTCTTTTCAAAAATCTCATGAGGATAGATTAAAAAAAAAAAACATGTGGTGGAACTTTTTAAATTTTTTGGTTGCATTTCATTGGGTTGGTTTTATGGAAACTTTGATAAAAATAAATACAAATATTATATTCTTTCATATGATCTTTATTTCTTACTTAATTTGTATGATAAACTAAAAAAAAATTGAATTCAAAACATAATCAAGTCAAATGTTATACAATATTAAAAATAAAAAAACTATTTACTCGAGATATATGAAACTCAAACGTCGATCCCTCAAACGTTGAGTAATTATGTAAAAGAAATAAAGAATGGCATAAACTATCTGATTTTTTTTTTTGACTCATGATCCCATGAGTTTTACGTATTCAAGAACAAAATCATCTTGAAACAGCTTTACATATTCATAAATTTGAAAACAAATGATGTTGAGAATAATTACATAAATGGTTTTTTAATTTATATCATCAATTTTTTAACAAACTTATGGTTTTCAAATTTATGAATACATATAGATCATAAGAGTAAAAAAATTTAATAAATATAATGTAATGTCATTTATCTAAATACTTAAATTTATAATTACACTTTAACTGACCATAATAATAGATATAAATTTTCTCAATGTATGTATATAAATCTTATTGGTGAGTTGAAAAATAGAGAAACAATTAAAAATAGAACTTAAAAAAATAGAATACTTTTATGTAGAACTAATGGTGTTGGTCAACCTAACTTGAACACCATATGAAATCACAAACCTAACTTGAACACTAAATGAGAAAACTTTTGTAGATATTTTTACAATATGGACGATAGCCTGAAATAAAGAGAAAGCAACTAAAAGTCAATAAAAAATAAAAGAACGAACTGGAAAAAGCAAAAACTCTACAATAGTTTTTTTAGCTTCACATGTGGGTAATATATAGAAGTAGACTTAGCGTACATGTTTGTGAATTAATTGGATTTAATGTTTTGAATTAATTAGAGTTATTGTGGTTATCTGTTAGCCTAATCACTAATGCATCAATTTAGAGTTATATGTCATATGTCAAATGTATCAATAGGATAAGAGAAATATCTTTTTTGGAATTAAATTGTAGGCACAAACTTTCAAACCTAAGGATTTTAAATAAATTAAAACAAACATTAATGAAATGAAGGAGGACACATGTCACCAAAAGAGAGTGACAAATGTCGCAATGGTAGGAAAAGTTAGAAGAAAACCTTCTCATATTATATAAGATTAGGACCATATTTTTATATAGGGATTTAAAAAAAATTACTATCTTATTATCTTATTGAATTTGGTTAATTTTTACACTGGCCCGACTTGGGACCGGTGAAATTTATTATTTTATCGTGTTTATTAATTTATCGAGTATTAATTTATAGAGGTTTAACTGTATTTGGATGTGATAGAATATTTTTTTCCGAACACAGATCTTATCTTCACCGATTTATTAGATGAATACTATTTACATTCTTTTTCCTGATTCACATGTAAAAACAAAACTTAAAGACTTTGGCAATTTGCGTTATACAATACGAAATTTCGTCACGCTGTAATTTGAAAAGTCAACCCTAGCCTAGGCCCCTTTAGCTCTCCTCCTTTTATATAAACAGAGAACAACACACTTTCTTTCTCAGCCTCTCTGTTTCTTCTTCTTCTTCTTCTCTAATCTCTCAACATGTCTTGCAACGCGACCGATCTCTCGGTCTTGTTAGGTCCTAATGCCACGGAGGCTGCCAACTACATCTGTGGCCAGCTAAGCGTCGTCGACAACAAGTTCATCGACGCCGCTTTCGCCATAGACACCACTTACCTCCTCTTCTCCGCCTACCTTGTCTTCTCTATGCAGCTTGGCTTTGCTATGCTCTGTGCCGGTTCCGTAAGAGCCAAGAATACCATGAACATCATGCTTACCAACGTTCTTGATGCTGCGGCCGGAGGTCTCTTTTACTATCTATTTGGCTATGCTTTTGCCTTTGGATCTCCTTCCAATGGTTTCATTGGTAAACACTACTTTGGTCTCAAAGATATCCCCACGGCCACTGCTGATTATTCCAATTTTCTCTACCAATGGGCCTTTGCTATAGCCGCGGCTGGAATCACTAGTGGTTCGATCGCTGAACGGACTCAGTTCGTGGCTTACCTAATCTATTCATCTTTCTTAACCGGTTTTGTTTACCCGGTTGTCTCTCACTGGTTCTGGTCAACTGATGGGTGGGCTAGCGCGTTTCGTACCGATGGAGATTTTCTTTTCAACACCGGAGCGATCGATTTCGCTGGCTCCGGTGTTGTTCATATGGTCGGAGGTATCGCTGGACTATGGGGTGCGTTCATTGAAGGTCCACGACTCGGCCGGTTTGATAACGGTGGCCGTGCCATTGCCCTTCGTGGCCACTCGGCGTCACTTGTTGTCCTTGGAACATTCCTCCTTTGGTTTGGATGGTACGGATTCAACCCCGGTTCTTTCAACAAGATCCTAGTCACATACCAAACAGGAACGTATCAAGGCCAATGGAGCGCGGTCGGACGGACGGCCGTCACTACCACCTTAGCCGGCTGCACCGCGGCGCTCACGACTCTCTTCGGAAAACGTCTTCTCTCTGGCCATTGGAACGTCACCGATGTATGTAACGGTCTCCTCGGAGGGTTTGCAGCAATAACCGGTGGCTGCTCAGTCGTAGAGCCATGGGCCGCGATCATCTGCGGGTTCGTTGCAGCCCTCGTCCTCCTCGGATGCAACAAGCTCGCGGAGAAGCTAAAATACGACGACCCACTCGAGGCAGCACAGCTCCACGGCGGTTGCGGCGCGTGGGGGCTAATTTTTACAGCGCTTTTCGCTGAGAAAAAGTACTTAAACCAGGTTTATGGCGACAGACCCGGAAGGCCTTACGGTTTGTTCATGGGTGGTGGAGGAAAACTCCTTGGAGCTCAGCTGATTCAAATAATTGTGATCACAGGGTGGGTTAGTGTGACCATGGGTACACTTTTCTTTATCCTCAAGAAGATGAAACTATTGCGAATATCATCGGAGGATGAGATGGCCGGTATGGATATGACCCGGCACGGTGGTTTTGCTTATATGTACCATGATGATGATGAGTCTCACAAAGCTATTCAGCTTAGGAGAGTTGAGCCACGATCTCCTTCTCCTTCTGGTGCTAATACTACTCCTACTCCGGTTTGATTTGGATTTTTACTCTTATGTTTATTTTCTAGAGTATTTTTATTAAACGATGATTTGGATATTTTTTTACATTTCAGTAATGTTTTTAGATGTACAGTTTCGTGGGGGTTGTGATGATTAATTAATATCTATGTGGTCATTTGTGTTGTCTTTGGAGTTTTTGATAACGCTTTTTCTCGAAATTTGTAATCCTTATTTGCCTGCATTATAAAGTCTAAAAATTAGGAATGTGAAGCATGGACTAAGTAAAAACCTGACCGTTTTTTAGTTTGGACTTTTTGATAATAGCTTATACTTACTGCTTTAAATAAGCTAAAAAGTCTTAAACCAACCTAGCATTGACGCAATAGGTATAAATAAATCGAAGTATCGCTTTCTAGAAACACTAACTTATTTGATAAAACGAAGTTGAACCATTTATTTACTCAAGCATAATAATCAGAAATGACAACCTTTCATGTCTGATGCAAATAATTAGAGTATTTATTAATGGAAATAATTTCTATGTCTTACATCACTAACTAGACTTTTAGATGCTTGCAAGTTTGAAGTTTCAGCAGAAGTAGGTGTTTTTACAAAACTCTTTTTTTGCTTTATTTTGATAAAGTATGTTTTTACTTTTTACAAACGTTCAACAACCGAGTCACGAATCTCAAATTTCATTTGTCCACCACATGCAATAATGTTTTTATTATATTAATGTTTTCTAACTCAACGAATTTGGAGGTTCGTACGTACCTTGTTGCCGCAACTAAAGATTCGGAGTATCTAATTATTATATTAAGAAATGGATTCACAAAAAGATATCGCAAATTACTCGGAAGTCGGAACTTGTGATAATGTTGTCGATACCATAAAATGGCAACTTCGTACATATGTGAAAAAGGTAAGGGTAATTGGGTCTTTTGGAAAAACGATGGAAGCATGACATGAGGCATCTCTCCTACAAGTTGGAAAGAAGATATTTTGTCTCCTACAAGTTGGAAAGAAGATATTTTGTCTTTAGCTCCAAATTAAAAATTTGTATTTCTAAATATGAAAAGGTGAAGAAACCAATCAATTATCTTTGTTTGTGTTTTTTGTATTGTCTTGGTATTTCGTATCTCTTCTGCTTCATTCTTTGCGAGAGGGTGCTTGTATTGTCTTTGATTGGTTCTTAGTTGCTTTCTATCGTTTTTGTGCGTTTGCCGTCTCTGTTGCTAGTAGCGCCTTTTGATCCGGTCTTTTGTGTTTTAGCTCTCGTCTCGTTTAGTCTCTTACCAGATGTGTTGGTTGCTTTAGTTTCTGTCCGGTTCGATCTCTTGCCGTTTATCTTCTTCGGTGTGGTCCGGATCGATTTGGTTCTCTCCTTGTCTCTACTCTAAAGATCTGATCGAGATCTCATCTGTTATTTGGTTGGTTTCCTTCGAGGCGTTTAACAATTATAATCCTTGATTTCGCCGCTTCCGGGAGTGTAGGTGTGACATAGTTGTCATTGGCCTAGTTCTTTTCTCGCCGGTCTGGATTCCTCAGAGCTCTTCTATGTGAGGTAGTCTTCATCGTAATAGGTGGTACCGCTGTCCGTTTGGTTGGGAGTTCTTATCCCCTACGGAGTGGCTCGTTGTAAAGCTCTTCCTTTCTTTTGTTTGGTAGTGTGGTTGACGAGATGTTGTGGTTAATTGCCGGCTTACTGTGGACTGCTTCTTAGTTCAGTTTCGGACTTGTTCCCATGTTTGTTTTAGGCTTGTTTTGCCTTGTTGTTTCCCTATCTTTCATGGCTCCGGATGAGTAGTTCATGCCGGCTTTGTTTTCCCTTAAAACTCTAGGGCTTTAGCTTCCCGTATCACTCTCGGGCTTTGGTTTCCCATATCACTCTTGGGCTTTGTTTCCGGTTTATCCGGCTTTGTATTCGACGTTGTAACGTCGTATAATATAAAATCTTCCAGTGAAAAAAAAAAAAAAAAAAGGAAGTTAATGGCCTAGCACTTTAGTGTGTAGCGCAGCACTTTAATGAATTCACACTAAATGATAAAGTTGACCAGATGGCTCCGGTACTTGGAAACAAATTGCATAGAAATTTCACATTTTTAGAGCATATGCATCACCAAAACACATCAGGTGTTCTAAGAGTATTAAATTAATAAAAGGCTTGAACAGTATAAGACAAAGTGGAATTGTGTTCCTCCCCGAGAACTGTTCTTAAGGTGTTCTAAGAGTATTATGAGCACGTGTCTTTTGTGTATTAGTCCTCTTTTTTTCTTCTTTTTTCTTTCTTTTTTTTCTTCTCTCTCTTCTTAATAAAATAATGTTAAGAACACAAATCAGTGTTTCAGCGTTACCAATGCTCTTAGGTACATATATTTCAACATTTTGAAGAATATATTTGACTGTTTTGAATTTGGATATTTTTCAGTGGACCTGATATTTGTGATTTCTACTCAGGTTATTTATTGCTTTCCTAACAATTTGAAATTTAGTGTGTGGATCTTACTAATAGTAGTAGGTTCTATTCTTAATGAATATACTCCAAACATTTGAACGTTAGTATCATTCAAAAGGTTAATTAAGAAATAATAGTATTATGTATGTGTAAGTGTTTCAATTCATTTAGGAGTAGTTTTTTATTTTTTGAAGTAATGTTAAATTATATTTTAAAAAACTAACGTTTATTACGAATTAATGCACACTTTTCTTAAAAACTGCAAACCAAACTTGAAATGCCACTCCAAATTGTGCTTAGCCGGTTTTCTCGATCGGTAATGGTTGTTCACCTAACTTTCTATCATTTTTTGTTTTCGCAACTAGTATGCATCATGTTTTAAAAACATATCTTTGTCTCGGTCCTTCAACAACAACAATTTCACATAGAGTTACATATACCAGAATGACGAACGTGGATACATAAACATAAACCATTCCAAACATAGTCATTTGAGCACATTTATCTGATTTAGTTATTTTTATAAAGTATACGAGTATTTTCTTAGTTCTTTGTTTAAGTGTTTCTCTCTCGTTTAGGTGACAAACTTCTTATTGGTAGAGCATTTTCACTTAAGAGTAAGGTCTGAATGGTTTATATAAGCAGCAATTGCTTGAGTTTGTCACTTAACCCGTTTACGTAGGCTTACAGTTAGTATAGTGAATAGTGATTAAAAAATGGTCTGCAATTATAATAAAATAGACAGCGTTTAAATTATAAATCCCAAAACTGCCAGTATATGTGCTTCTAAAAACATCAAAACTCAAATTATTATCTTTATAATTGTAATCATTATTGATCAACTTTTTTTTTTTTTTTGCTAAGAATGTAAATATTCATTTCACAATGATAGTTTCGGTTACACAACAAAGGATAACCATATTATGGTCCCATGGCAAAAAAGGATAAAAAACATGGAAGCATACAACATTCTTGAACCTAATCATCGATTCTCGTTAAAGAAGATGATTGGGAACAAGATAAGGTGAATCCCTAAAGTGAGCTTGGAAATGACGCAATACGAAGACATCACAATAAAGCTCACGAGACACTCTAAGCTAGAAGGCAGCCCTTTCAACGGTAATCCGAGCTCCACAATGAACTGCGGAATTTCCGAGCAAAATGTGTTATGCAATGCTCACTCACTCTATCGAGTCCCCCTTGGATTCGGTAGCTCAGAGTCTGGCAACATCTTAACCACATAAAGCCATACTAACACCACCAAAAGCACAGAGAATAACAGAAACTTCAAGGAAATCTTCGCTGCTTCACCGAAGACACTAACCCGTTGTGGCTGAGCTTAGACAAAGGCAAAAATGACAAGAGGAGGCAGCAAACCTGAACGCAACAAAGAGGACTCAAGTGCGACATGCCAAGGACTTGCACGGAGATGGCATGGGCAGCGACGGCGGGCAGACTCAAACCCTTGGTCAAGCGTAGCCCTCAACTCCATCCTAGACGAAACTCACAAGAACCTAATGGGGCAAATCAAGACTCGGAAAAAACCAGCCCACATATTTAGTTAACCACCTTTGGCTTGGGAATTGGTAAAAGGAGGCTTGCAAGTAGATAGAGAAGCCGGCTCTAACAACAAACCACAACACAAAGCCCCAAACAACCAACTCCCCCGGAACAAACTAAAAGAGAGGATCGATATCACCGGTGGCTGAGACCTCATCACTACAAACCACACCTACAGCAACAACACACCAACCAGAGGCTCCGAGCATACAAGAGTACGCGACGAGCCAGGGACACAAACGACTTCCGAAACGAAGCGGGAGAACAACGCACAGATCGAAGACAAGAGGAACCACGACGGGGAAGAAAAGCAAAGCTAAACTAACGCCAAAAGGAGGAAACAGAGTACCTCCAGACCAAGAAAGACAAAGAAACGCCGCACGCCAACAGGAAGGAGGAGCGAGATACAAGGACCTAGCTTCTGCCACCCACTTGCCGGAGAGGGAGCTAATCACCGCCTGAACCTAATCAAGCGACACCGTTGCAAAAAAGCAACATCGAAGCCTCACCGAAAGACACACCAAGGACCCTCGATCTAAAATCATTGCCGTCCTCAAGCAAATCGTAGACAATCAAGGATTCGGAGAAGTGAAAAACGCCGAAGACTTCAGAAAAACTCCAAGGCAAGCCAACGCCGAAACTCAACTCTCTGGCCACCGTAGATGAACACCCCTAGATCCGAGCCGCTTCTCGTCAAATCGCCAGCGAGAAGGAAGCCAGAGCACACATCGGAACGTCTGGGGGCCTCTCATGGTCACGGCGAGGAGCACCGATGACCGGAGAGGCGGAAGCGGTGGAGATCTAGGTTTTCCGAGGCTTTTGTTTTTGAGAGGAAACGGCGCCGCTCAAAGGCTCCGCCACCTTCAGTGGTCGTATTATATTATATCATTATTGATCAACTTTCACTATAAGGAAATATATAATATAAAATAATCTTGATCACTTTAATATATTTTCTAATAGTAACATTTGTTTTAGTATTAGCATTACACACATGTTGTTTGGGTTATTTACCTGTTTAAAGTTCGGACGAATCACTTGTTTTATTTAACTTAACTTATACGACTCATTTAAAAGAGACCACATGTACTTTGCTTTAGGTGAATCATTTAACTGTTTAATTAGCTAGTGTGACATGTTACTTATTTTGTATGACCATGTTACTCATATAAAATAAAAAAACTTGTCAAACGAAAAAAATGCAGTACACTTCTTCCAACGAGCTGGCCAATCTTTGGTAGGATCGGTTTATTTAACAAAAACAATCTATAATCATTATTTACTCAGAAGAATAATAAACAGAGAAGACAACGGCTTGATTCATGTGTGAGCCTCAACGACCCTCTTTCTCCGACATGTCTAACGCAAAATACATAATAATTTATAGAAATAATTCTCTGTGACATCAAATATTATTGGAATTTTGTAATGCTGAATAGTTGAAGCAGAACTTGTCGTTTTACAAACTTTGAACAACAGAACAGGAATCTTATTGTCATTACATGCAATGTTTTATTCATTTCAACATTATTTAGTTAACCGAACAACTTTGAAGATACATACCACGTTGCCACACCACAAGATTCGACGTATCCTAAATATTTTACTAATAAACAAGATAAGATTCGCACCAAAGAGATCACAATTTCGTTGGAGCCCGTGATATCGTTGCCTGTATCATAAATGGTAATTTCGTACTTACACGAGTTCTTTAGGGGTAATTTTGGTATTTTAGAAGTCAGAAATAAGAGAATTTTTCCAAGTCTTTGGCGTTTGTAAAAGTGAAATTTGGACCTTTGTATCTCTTTATCAATACCTAAATAAAGCATCTAGATGCAAAAATGTTCCTCATGTTCAGATTAGTGTAAGAAATAACATACACCTGTATATGCAAAGATAAAATAATGGGTAAAATATTATTTAAATTATCAGTTATTCATTTTCGTTGATTTAAAGCATGAATTCTATATCTCGTGATTAAAATGCTTAATTTTATGTTGACTTTCAATTTAATCACGAATTCTCGTTGACAAAGCCAATTGAGGTACAAAATCGGAATCGAAAAAGAAAATTGATATCAAAATTAGAACTTCAAAATTATAAATTTTTCTCGATTTTTTCTCTAATCCTCTGGATTTCTTCTTAAATCCCGATTTAATCTTAGTTTCTCAAGATTTCTTCTTTCGATTTTGTGTTTCAATTAACTTTTGCCAACGAAAATTCGTGATTAAATTAGAAATTAACATAAAATAGAGCATTTTAGTCACCAAATGCAGAATTCATGTTTTAAATCAACGAAAATAAACAATTAATGATTTAAATAATATTTTTTTCAGAAAATAATATTCAGAGAGACTCACTCCAACTGTAATATTCATAATCCATTTATTATTGCTTCATATTTGGAGTTGAAAAAGAAATTGGGAAAAAGAATAATAATACTACTAAAATGAAATGCATAGTCAATATTAGTGGCTATAATTAATAACTATACGTTACCGTACAGCTAGAAACAAAACCGTAAGACTTTCACGAAATTGAATTTTCCTTGTTGATTTGACTTTTTTTTCTAAGACCATCCGCAGTGGTGTAAGTGTGAGGGAGGGGTGTAAGATTTTTTTTATTATTATAATTTAAAGTGAGAGAGAAAAGAGAGAGAGAAAGAAAGAGAGAGAGAGATAGAGTGGCTTACACCCGAGTGTAAACTTACACCCGGGTGTAAAGAAAGAGACAACTTTTACATTATTTCTGTATTTTAAAATAATGTTTACACCCGCAAGGATACACCACTGCGGATGCCCTAATAAAGAAATTCAATGTATCATATGCTTAGAAAAGCTTGCAATATTCCAATGATTAATGTGAAAACAATTCCTTTGTGACGTCAAACTAAAAAACTTGGCGTACCTATAGATTCTAAATAATTTTTAGAATCTGAATTCGTCAGCTATTGTAACTAAATATTCTAACTATTTGGTTGAAGAAAAATGGGTTTTAATAGTTTTTGATTAGAACGGTTTGAAGCTTTATTATATACATGAACGAATCAAAGTAGTATTATAATTTCATTAGAAATGAAAAAGTGAGAGAAGTTATTCAAACTTCATCGGTGAATCATAAATGTCCCCATAATGATACTAATGGTACAAGAAGATGATCCCACATACATTAATTACTTAAAAAGTAAACAAGAACGTCATTTACTTTGAAGCAACCTACCTACCCATGAACTTAATAATTTATAACATTAATCACGAGAAGACTACATTTGGAGAGACCTTATGAAAAGCTGACTTTTTTTTTTGTTAACATTATATATAGGATTAGATATTGTGTCATTTGTGATGTTTTTCTTCCCCTAAACGTGCAACGATTCGTTTGAATTGGGTTTACTACATGGGCCATAAAGCCTTGTTTTGCATGAGAATTGGCTTCACCATTAATGTCCAAATGGTCCACGGAAACAGTGGACTATCCCCAAGTCTAATCCATATTTACCTTGCGAAAGAGCAGTGAAGGAACAAGTGGCTTATGGATTTAAGATTCCCCACAAACGGCACATGAAGAATTCACTTAATAGTTCCTTGCTTGTTTGACTTTGACTGCAATGTATAAAACAACTCAGTGCCCTGTATATAAAACCGAAACACATAAGCTGTGATTGGTAAATTTTATGGAGTAAACCCGCATAAAACATTTTTTTGGACTCACCAGAGTAAATATTTTTATTATTATTAATAGATTTAGTTCTTTGTGAGCGTAAACTTTCATTCTACACACAATGAGAGTAAACATATAAAGGTAGAATTAACGGGTTCTACAAAATTTACTCTAATTTGTTTGGGCTAACATGACTACCAATCATAAGTCATAACCATAAATTTATCTCTTGATTAACGAGGAAGAGAGAGGACAATCACATTCATCAATCTTATTTTACCATTTTTGTTTGTGATAGTTTAATTTAGTCCAACGTGTGCCGAAACATGTTGGATACAATCAGTGCCGGCTCAAGGAATTTGTGGGCCCTTGGGCTGATAAAAATACTTAGGTTAATAAATCAAAATTTCTAGACTATTAAAGATAAATAATATTTTTGGGGCCCTTTGACTTAACATTTTTCAAAAATTAGGCCCCTTAATTTAATGAAAAATTTAGCTAAAACTTTATGGGCCCCTGGGCCCACGCCCCATTGCCCTCCCCCTTAAGCCGGCACTGGATACAATATCAAATATCTGAATTAGCTGTTTTGTGGTAAGAATTAGCCGTACGAGATATAATCACCCAATTATGAATTTGACTTTGACCATGTAATTAGTGAGAGTTTAGTAGTAAAAATTATTATTTTGATAGTTTTTCTTTTTTTACAGCTCAATTTTAATAGTTTTTTTAACCTTTTTTTTTGTAAGAAGAAAGCTATGATATATTTCTTTTAGTTTATAAGAATTACTACTAACAATATAATTAATAATCGTTTTTTTTTTGTAGCTTTTTCAATAAAATTTAATCCATTTGTTATTTTTATAGAGGATATAAACCAACGGAACTTTTAAAAAAAATTCCTCAAGTTCCACTTTTCAGCCAATTCCTCAAGTAACATAAAAACCTCCACAAGTTTACGGTTTACCAATTTAGTGCCATAAAAAACAACAAAATCACTTCGAAAATAAACGATTAAGATTAACATGGGCCACACCAATTGGGCCTAAAGATAATGATGGTCCACATAAATTGGGCCTAACCAAAATGACCTCAATATCAAAACTTCGACAGTCACTGTAACAACATTTTAGATCTTTCCCGAAGAAGACGAAGAAGAGACGACGAGAGAAATGAGGCCGATGCAGCTAGATATGTTGTCGGAGATGGATGATGCAGGTTCTTCAATGGCCATGGACGTTGATGACCTCGAAGCTATGGAGATTCTCAACGAAGGAGGACTTGTTTCAGATAACAAGCTCGCCGACGCCGATTTCTTCAACAAATTCGAGGATGATTTCGATGACACCGATATTAACTAAATCCGGTTAATTTCCTCTTTAAGATTTCAGTTTTTGTCCTAATCTTTATGTAATTTGTGGAGAAACCTATGTAATGACTGTGTGTAAGTCCTGGGATTTTAATGTTTGTGTTATGTAACATTTGCTTTGGTATTGATTTGATTGTTTTTAGCACAAATTTAGAATGTTTTTGCCTTGTTCTGGAATTGAAGATGTTTTTGGAGATTAAAACCTAATTTCTTTATAAGTTTTTGGTATTTTAGTAACTGAAATTTAGAGTCTTTTTGGTGATTTTTTTTCAATGTATGTGAATGTTATTGATATTGGCTTAAGATGGAAACTAATTGATTCTCCAGGGCGATTGCTTGTAATTTCACCATTTGCATTCTCTGAAACATGTGTTGATGTGTTGCATTGTGTTGATATTCATGTGGCTCACCGGGTCTAGAGAAACTTCCCGAGGAACTAAGCGAGGAGTCGTTTCGAGTAAACTCCTATGTGAGAGATGAAATCCTCATGTAAGCTGTAACTTTCCACAAGTAGTGAGTAAGTGAACTAGGGACCTCATAAGGAAGAACATATTTCTACCTTAATGATATATAGTCTCTTGCATCTCCCGTTTAACTCGAAACATCGGTCATTGATTTATACAGATATGGTATCTTGTTCCATGTTGAATGCTTGTAATGTCACCATCTCTCACCATCTCGTGGTTTTTGAGTCCTGTGTTGCATTGTGTTGGATCATATGGTATGTTAGGAGGGGGTGTATGATTCCCTTGGCCAAGCTCTGTTGTTGCATTGTCATATTATGTTCTCTGGGCCGGTTACGGTGCTTTGTAGATGGAAATAGTGTGATTGATGTTCAACTATGGTAGAAAGGAGAAGATGTCACTTGTCAGTTCCGAGCAGTCTTTGTTGCTTACCTTATGGTCTTATGTATGTAGTGTAGCCAACTTCATGAGATTTCAACATTCGTTAGCATTTTATAAGATGTAGATAAATGTCGGATCACTCAAATTTTGTGTATCTTCTTATCAGAAAGGGACACAAATTAGCGTGACCTCTCTTCAGAATCATTTATCGAAAAAAGACACGGAAGATTAACAATTGATATATCTTAGCCGTCAGATTGCTCAACCATATAAATAAAGACTGAAGAAATACACCATACCCTCTTTATCTAACCAAATCAAAATCTTTCATTAATAAAAATAAAATTAATGCATTTAATTGTAAAATCAAATCGCTAACCATTCTTTTATAACACCGACATATTTATTTAACCACATTTAATTATAAAATTTAATTTCTAACCATTTTTTTTATTAAACCTACATCGACATATAATTTTGTTTAATTGTAAAATCTAAACTCTAATCATATTTTATAAACTCAAACGGAAATTTAGCTTCGTGTAATTGTAAAATATAAACTCTAACCGCCTCTTATAAATCCAAACTGACATATAACCTCGTTTAATTTTAAAATCTAAACCCGAACTCTTTTTTATAAATCCAAATCGACATTTAACCTCGTTTAATTGTAAAATGTAAACCTTAAGTCTTCCTTATAAACCCAAACCGATATATAACTTCGTTTATAATTGTAACATTAAATCCTAACATTTCTCTTATAAACCCAAACCGACATAGAAATTCTAACACCAATGATATATTGTTATATGATGTATTTTAGTGAATTATGTTAACTTCTTATATGGATAAGATAAATTTTTTTATATTGTTTATTTTTATTAGGTGTCAGATTCTGATTGGTTAAAAAAATTGAGGTTAATAAAAGGGTTCAACCAATTATTTTTCATTTTTTTAAATTCTAATTAGGAAATTATTCCGATTTTACAATCGAATTAATTATTCTTGGGTTATGTGCATTCACATGTGTTTTAATGGGCTTAAAACATAGTACTATTTCGACTAGCTAAATGACAATTATTTAAAGAATTTTGTGTTTGAGGAAAATTAATCATTGGCTTACACCTAGAGAGTAAATTTTCAAGTGAAAACCACTAGACCAAAATTCACTTGGTTAAATATAGAGATAGATTTTTTTCAGAGAACAGAAACTACTCGAAATTTTTAATCATGAGAGATAACTTTATACTTCCACAATTTGAACCAAAGACTCCCGAAATCCAATCTTCTAAGTGATATCTAGCTGAGACAACTCAAAAAGCAAAACGAGACTAAGAAATGAAAGATGTAGAAGCTAGTTGTTTATTATTTTGAGAGATGCCTTACAATTTCTTTTGCCTTTTCTATGTAAGCCCTAGTCGTCTCTAATGTCTTTCGTCCCAAATTTCAGGTAACTATTTATCTCTATCACTCGTGATTCATGTTGATTCTTCTATGGATTCCAATTCTGATATTGCTCGCGATTAATGATGCAGTAAAACCCTAATCTTCTTCAACTTTCTCCAATATCGTTCATCCCAAACTTTCAGGTAATAGATCATCTCTCTCTCTCATGATTCATGTTGATTCTTCAATTGTTGACGATCCTGATATTGCTAGCGATTAATGCTTTTCTTTCTCGTTTCGGATTTGATCAATCTTTGTATCTTCAATCTCTTGCTCATTTATCTAATTAAAGTCTCGATTAAAGCTTCCTCTTCTTTTTCGTTTGCGGATTTGATCGATTTTTGCATCTTTAGTCTCTTGCTCATTTATCTAATTGAAGGTTTGATTCATCAAAACATGATTGATGAATATCGCGATTAATGCTTCCTCTTCTTTCTCGTTTGCGGATTTGATCGATATTTGTATTTTTAATCTCTTGCTCGATTATCATCTCGAGAAAGATGTATCGGGGATAATAATATCACCATCACACATTGGAATGAACAAAAAATATTGACTAGTATATACTCCCTCCGTTCTTTTATAAGTGATATTTTAAGAGAATGCACATAGATTAAGAAATCATGTAATTTTTGTTTATTTCTAAACTAAAACATCATTTATTATCTAATCAACCAATAAAAAAACAATCTACAGAATATAAATCGTCAAAACCAATAAAAAACAATTAATTTGACATTAAAATTTGAAAACATCATCTATTTAAGAACAAAATTATAAGCTTAAAACATCACTTATAAAATAACGGAGGGAGTAAGTTATATGAGTCAATTCACTCATTGACAATTAATTTTTGGTTATAAGCTCATATTCTAATAATTAACACTAAACAATTTATATAGAAAAAGTTAGGATTCCATCAATATTAAATATGAATTATGCGAATTGTAATTAAATTATCAATTAATTAAAATGGTAAAAACACATTCTTTTGGATTTAGTTTTGGTAAGAGAGAAATCAATGAATTTTGATGTCTCTTATTAAAAAAAATTCATCCATTGACGTGTTCGCTTCCTCTCCCTCCATTTTCAAGTTGAGCATATCTCATAAGCAAAAAGCGGTTGAAGAATCCTCTACTTCTCACCCTACTGTAACCCCATACACTCTCAATCCAAATAGTTATCTTAAACCCACACGTCAACGAAACCACTCTTTTGACTTCATCCTATATCCAATAACACCACTCCACGTCATCACCACGACCAAGTGTTTCTGTGATCGATCACACACACACAAAGAAGCGTATCGGTTCTGTTTTGCTCCAACACAAAGCTTTCTCCAAAAATTGGATCGAAAAAAACCCTAACTTTGACATGGAAGGAGAGATTCAAGACTGGGAAATACTTCAGAGCTCGAGATCTACGACGGAGGATGATAACTCGAGGAGCTTGGAGGAGATTGATGATGGTACGCAAGGTATGATTAGGTTTGATCACTTCTCTCTTGAGAACCAGAGTGGTTTGTCTCGTGTGGAGGCAAACGATGAAGATGGGTCTGTTCAATCAGGTAGTCCAGGCTGGATCGAACCGAACTCCGATGTTCCTTATGGTCCTAAGCATTTTAGTGAGTTATGGTCTGATTCAAGCAGTGATCGGCTTGAGGAACAGAGGTTAGTTGATGATGATGTGAATAACGAAGTGGGTATTGTTGAATATAGTGAAAGTATAGCACAAGACATGAATTTGATGAGCTCTGATGAGAGAAAGGAAGAATCTTTACTTCATCCAGTGGAAGGAGAAGGAGACTCTGTTTCGGTTGATCCTTGTGTTAAATCTGGTGGTGGTGGTGGTGGTGGAGGAGAAGAGAAGGGTTTTGTGTGGTGGAAAATTCCTATAGAGGTGTTGAAGTATTGTGTGTTGAAAATTAATCCTATTTGGTCTTTGTCCATGGCTGCAGCATTTGTGGGGTTTGTTATGTTAGGGCGTAGATTGTACAATATGAAGAAGAAGAGTCGTACCTTGCAGCTTAAGGTTCTTTTGGATGATAAGGTAAGTAGTTCGGTTTATTTGATTGTTATTGTTCTTTTAAGTATGTGATTCATGAGCCTGTGGTTATTGTTAGATCTTTTGGAGTGAGATGAGATTGCATAGTTCAAACTTTTATTGTTTAGTTAGATGTTTTATTAGTGTCATTGTTGATTTTGTTGGGGGAAATTAGAAGATCAGAATCTCCTTCTTTGTGCTGTTGGTTGAGTTAAACTTTTTGTCATGTGACCAGTTTTTGTTGTTGTTGTTGTTGTTGTTGCGAGTTTTCTCTTTGCTAAGTAGTTTAGATGCAACCAGCGACCCATGATCATAGTATTCACCAACAGTCATACACTCATACTCCATTTACATAATCTTGAAAGTGTTTTTGTAAGCTCTTCGTTGTTATTAGTTCTTTGATATAGCTCTGGTTGAGTTCTTGATGGATGCTTTTGGTATGGAGAAGCAAAACTGTAGTTGATGAGAGCTTTGTTGTAGGCGTTAGAAAGCCCACTGAGTGATCCATCTCTTTGTGCTTCTTCTATGTGGTTTTATCTGCTTTAATGATTTGAACAATTTGTTTATCTTACATTTTAGTTTTGCAAGTTCTTTTGTTATGGGTAAATGATAGTTGAAAGGTCTATAGACTATGTGGTTTCTGACTTTGCCTTTCAGCGGTTATCTGCTTTTGATTCATCTTTTGATTCATCTTTGTAACATTTTCTTGTTTGGTAGTCAGAGATGGATAGAAGTAGTGGTGAAACCTGAAATTGTAGTTTAACTGGTCTTTCTATGGTACAAAGCATCAATAAGGACCCGAGTTTGAATCCTGCTTACGGTTGCATATAACTTGGCGGATCATATATGTCTTTTGCTGCTGAAATTCATGTTCTTGCTTGACTTTTTACTCATCTTTCACTTATGGAAATAAAGAACAAAAGTTGTGATTATTTCAGAACAAAATCTGGAAGACATTTACACCATCTGATTCTTTTTTTTCTATCTTTTGAATGAAATACTTTTCAGAAGGTGGCGAATCATGCTGCTCGGTGGAACGAAGCGATCTCAGTAGTGAAACGTGTACCCCTAATCCGGCCAGCACTTCCATCATCAGTGGGTATGATGAACCAGTGGTCCATGATGAGTTTAAGGTGAAAGATAAGTGAATTTGAGGGCATAATAATGCATATATGTGAGATGAAATGATTGATGTGGTTGGTGCATGTATCATATGATTGTATAAAAATATAACAAGTCTCAAAATGTTACAAAAACATACAAAAATATGCGTGTAAGTTTGTACTGTGTGTGTATATATTGTTACTTGCTTGGTGGAATACAAATTGGATCAGAATCATAGTGCAGCTTTGGAAGGTTGCGGTCAGAATCCAACCTTGATAAGCTTCTGAGCTAGTCTTAGTGGGCAGTGTCGTAATGAGATTGTACAAAGACAAAAGCTAATAACGGAATTTTGGTTGTTTATTGAGAAAAGTACGACTCTTTAAGATATGAAAAGGATTAAGACAAAAACCCAAAGTAACAGGGAAGTTCACGTGAAGAGGGCAATGTTCTGATTGATGTAGTAGGAGTCTATCCTTCACTTTATAGCTATCCCAAACTATACGTTGTCAATTGTGATTTGATATATGTCTCTTCTTCTTGTTTCTTTGTCTTCTTTCACTCTATTATTCGTTGACAATTTTACCACCAAAGTTTGGTATACTCATTTATCATATTTCAACACAAATGAAACATTTTTACCACCAAAGTTTGGTATACTCATGAGGTTTAACTATTGACGTTTAACGGAAATAAAGCAAACCAAATTGGAGCTTCAAGATAAATCTAGCCATTGTCTTCACATAACATACTCAAATATCCTCCTCATCCACTAAAAAAACTAGCCATCTACATTCATTTTTTCGGTTTAGTTTGGTTCGTTTTATTTTGGATTTCAATTTTTTTCAGGTTTAGGAAAATATGTTCTAAACAGAACCGAAATTTCGGCTATATTTTGGTTCGGTTTTGGATTGGTTCGATTCTAGATTTAAAAATATGAAAAATAAAATAACCAAATGTTTTTGTTAATATTTTAGATTTTTAGTGCATATAAATGTATTTTTTTCCTACTTATTTAATAAAAATATTAACTTCGATGAATGTTGTTTACTTCTGTTTGGTAGCACAAAATTCAAGTATATAGATTTCTTTCATTGGGGTTATAATAAAATTTGGTTTGATGGGTTTGGTTCGGTCCTTAAAAACACTGACCATAACTCAAGACCTACACAACCCATGAGAAGAAGCCTATAGACCAATTAAACCAAAAACTAGATCATGACCCGTGCTATACAGCACGGGGTTTTATTATTTTTTTTTGAAATATATTGTTCATTTAATTTGAAATATGTAAAAAATAACATAGTGTAATAGTTTAGTATAAAAGGGAATTAATCATATAGTTTTATGTTTATTACTATTTGGACATTATATTGTGTAGTAGTTATTTGACGATAATTTGTATATTTTGATTGTAGAAGTAAATAATACTATAAAATTTATTTTAGATATATTTTCCTTATAATAGTTGGTTGCTTTAATTTATATTGTTTAACACTACATGAATTTTAATTTGGTTGAAGACATGAATTGGTAATAAAATGATGTAGTATATATTATCTTAGAATTGAATATATTTAGTTGCATTAGATTTGTATTTTGTTCTATAAGATTAACAATTTATTTAGTTTAAGTAGTAATTGATAATTTGATATAAAAAAGAAATTGTTGTATTGGTCTGAGTTGTTTAGTGGGCTATTTTGGGTTTATTTGGCCCAGTTTGTTTGTTAAAAAAAAAAAAAAAAAAAAAAACAACAAAAAAAAAACAGATCGGCAAACGGGAAATTTCCAACAGTTAATCCCAGAAAACTAATGTCGAATTCTACCCAAGTTTTTTTCAAATTCGACCTCAAAGATAACACAGATTGAATTTCTTGCCCAATCCGTTCATATATTTCGAGTAAATGAAGCACGTCGGAGTGGTGATCAAAGGTAAAATTCAAACCGAACGATTTTGTTTATAAGTTACAGAAATCGATTAATTAAGTTCATGAGCTGATTGATGATTAAATCGATTTAAGAGACAATGAATTATGTAATATCTGATTGCAGAACTGAATGAAATTCTCCAAAATGAAGTTGTCGATGAAAATGAGTTGTGAAGAAGAAGATCAGCGAAAAATCTAAACAGGGTTGATCTACTTTCAACAAGCAACTCAGGAACAACTGATTGCAACATTAGACCAACACAGAAATGTCCAGGTAATTGATCATGACCAATTTTGTTTTTTAGTTAGACAAATTTATCAAGTATGTTCTTGAACTGATTGATGATTGGATCGTTTTAAAAATTTGGTAACAAATGAAACATTTGATTTTGAAACATGTAGATTAGAACATTGAATTCATAATAGAAATGTAGAATCGATATACTGAGTTAAACAAAGTGATGGCATCTATTTGTTTAGAAGAATAAAAAGTTCTATAATCTAAAATTCGAGTGTGATAAATAAATGAAAGAAAAACCAAAAAATGTAAAACTTTAAATCTAATGCTGTTGCTTATTCAAGTGCAGATGAATGATTTTCATACTCTTATTCCTTTAAACACGTCCTGACTATCCTCCAACTCCTTTGAATTCTTGTTTTGATGCTGAAAGGTTAGAGAAAATGAAAATAGAAAAGCCACATAATGTCATCAGTCATAAAAACAACTTCTACTCTAGTCTATAAGAATGGAGAAAACCATTATGATTAGTTAGCATATTTACCTAGTCGAATTGGAACTCTTTTAGATTCTTTCCATGACTGTCTTTAGTGAAGGTTTTGAAAGACTTCTTTATAAACTACATTCATTGTTTTGCTCTGTGGTTTACCTTTCTTGTCTATTATAAGAATCTTCAAACCTGGAATAAGGGTAAAATTAATAATCTTATACATAATTTATCAATTAACATTCTGGATATAAGTATCTTGATACCTGATTTTGACGACACTCTAGAGATTGCCACGTATAGTTGACCATGTGAAAAAACAGGCCTAGGCAAATAAAGTCCAACGGAAGATAGTGTATGTCCTTGACTCTTGTTTATGGTCATGGCAAAAGCAACAGATAGAGGAAATTGCCTACGCCTCATTTTGAAAGGCAATCTGGCATTTGATGGTGTGATGAGCATTCTAGGAATCAGAACAATCTTACCAACTTTGTTACCTGTGATAACTCTAGCTTCAATTACCGTGTCTGCCATTTGAGTGACCTGTAATCTTGTTCCATTGCATAAACCTTTATTAGGATCCATGTTTCTGAGTAGCATGACAGGACAACCAATCTTCACACGCAAACAATGGTTTGGCAATCCAGAAACTCTAACACTGTTCAGAAAATCAGGAGAATATGCGACATCATTCGCAGCACTTGTGTCTGAAGGGTCTATACTATCAGAACTTAGGTAAATTCTCTCTTCACCTAAAAACAGAATGAAAATGGATGCAAATTTGATATAAGCTTGTATTAAAATTGTATCATATTCATCTGAAAAAAATAAATAAGGAATGGTAAAAGTTAACTAACCATCCAACATACTCAGCATATGCTCATTTATGTTGTTGACATCCTCATTAGTAGGACAGAGAATAGCTCTTCCTTGAAAAAATTTAGGATCTTTCTCCACCATAAAGGTATTTCCATAAACTGCATCGATGATGGATTCGATTGGATCTTTATCCCGAGTAATAAGTAACTCTTTTGGGATGTCAATCATAGCAATTCCATCATTAGGCTGTGCAATTTTCCCATCTCCAACATCTAGTATCCACTTTGAGAATTCCTCTATTTCCCGCTTTTCAAGGTCACTAATGTTTGCAAGAAGTCTCATATTCTTTGTTAGCTCCAAAACTCTGCAATGCTCCCAAATATAAGAAGAATTAAGCGCAGCAAACACAATCTCCTCTCTACCAGCACCATTGATAACCGGTAACACTTGTCTGAAATCACCTCCAAAAACTTTAACTTTACCGCCAAAAGGCTTGTCCTCTGGATTATTCATAATATCTCTCAGAGTTCTATCCAAAGATTCAAAGCAATGCTTACTCATCATAGGAGCTTCATCCCAAATAATTAACTTTGCCTGGGTAACCAACTCACCAAGATCTGATCCACGTGAAATGTTACATGTAGACGCCTCATTGGGATTTAAAGGAATACCAAACCTGGAGTGTGCTGTTCGACCGCCATCTAAAAGCAGAGCAGCAATACCGCTAGAAGCGACATTTAAGCATATGTCTCCTTTTGATCTAATAGCAGCAGACAATAATTTCCAAAGAAAAGTTTTTCCAGTGCCTCCAAAGCTGTAAACAAAAAACACTCCGCCTGTATCGTGATTCACAGCATTCATAATCTCTGTTTCACAGGCCACATTCCTGTTTCCGAGACAAACCTGATTTCAAATAGAGATGGTGAATATCTGATTCTGTTCTCTGGTTGGATAACCTGGAAATCAGACAGATGAAACCAGAATCCTTCTTTCAGTACTGGTCGAAAATTCCAGAGGTATGTCCCAGATGGAATCCTTGCATCGATTCTTCCACCCTACATAACCAAAACATTTTAAGTACTTGTATGCCAAACATAAAAATAGTTTTATTGCAAGATAAAACTAAATAGAAAGTGTAGCAAAAGCTTGATACCTTTTCATCTGCCAACATCATGATTGTTTCAGATCCAGCAGAACCCAAATCCTGTTCCCACATACACATAATCTTAACATAAATCCTCCATGCTGTCGAGTTTACATGCAAATCAGATACACTGTGAACCAACTCCATGGGATATACACGTTTGTTTCTTTGCATTGAATGCAGAGGAGTCGATGGTTTCTGTGATGATATGAGAAGAAAATATAGGTATATATAGACGAATATGACTGAATATATTCAAAGAATATAGTTAGGATTAGATGTGGAAATATGAATCGTTTGGATGTTTTGTTTGATATATCTCATTTATGATTATTTAAATATGAGGTAGATAATGATTAAGAATGATTGCATATAATCACAGTTTCCATAAATTTAGGTATTCAAGATACTCAATATTGAATCCAGATTCAAGATAAATTATCAGCAAGTTGTTGTAGAAGTTGTTTTAGATTTTGGATATAATTTAGATATTTTTTTGTTATTAAGATTCCAAAATTATATTAACAAATTTATGAAGAATCTAAACTTACATAGAACTAATTCAACTGATATTGTATATTAATTAACTGTTTGTTGATTTATTTGCAGGATTATGCTAAAGCAGTTAAAAAAATTGGATAAAGATCAGTATGGACTAAAGCTATTAAAATAAGTAAGTCTCGTTAAAGTCATCATGCTATAATTTAATTTGAGTTATAATGGTATTAGGAGTATGGATAGTTTCTAAAGTAGAATAATTATGGATATTTCTAAAGTAGAATAATTATGGAACCGGAGAAAGCATATGGTTATGGCTTGGTGTCTTCTCCACGATCCAATTTGATATGAACATATGAAATTAGGCCATAATTAAGAGTGCTATTAGAAGCTTTGGCTTAAATAGTGGTTCTGGAATCGTTATTGTTAGGAGGATAGAACAAATAATCAAATAAGTAACACGACAATGATAAACCTTCTGAAATAAAACTCTTAGATAGAAATTGAAACTAAGGAAAAAATGTTTGATAAGATGTTGTTTGAAAAACAGAACATAAAAAATAAGATAGAAATGTAAGAAAGTCACCTAATAGAAAAAAAAAAAATAATAATCCATGAGATCAACATTATTTTAGATTGTTGAGTCTTCCCTCAACTCACTTTGCTCCCTTCTGGCCTTCGAGCTTCCTCCCTTCTGGCCTTCGAGCTTCTCAACCTTAATCTTCTTCAAAAGAACTTTCTTCTGTTCTGCTTCACTTACTTTGTTGATGGCTTCTTGACCTGCCTCATCAAGTTTGTGTATGAACTTAGGCTGATCATGTTCTGGTATATATAATGTTAGGAGAGTAGAGTTTAACAATAAAATAAGTAACACCACAATGTTAAACCATGACTACTATAACCATTAGAAAGAAATCTAAACTAAGGAAACAATGTTGATCTGATGTCGATTGGAAAATAGAGAATAAAAGCTTAGATAGAAATGAAAGCAAAGGGAAACAATGTTTGAAAAGATAACTAATATAAAATAAAACCTAAACTCATCAGATGAACTTTATTCTAATTGGTTGAGTCTTAGCTCCCTCACTTTGCTCCATTCTGACCTTCGATCTTCTCAACCTTAATCTTCTGCAAAAGAACCTTTTTCTGTTCTTCTTCACTTGCTTTGGTGATGACTTGTTCACCTGCCTCATCAAGTTTGTTTATGAACTTAGGAAGATCATGTTCCTTCGGATTGTCTACATCAATGACACCATCGACTTTAACATCGGATTGTTTTTCCATGCATTGTTTCTTGCTTGTGGAGTTTTGATCAGATCCATCCGAAAAATCTTCTTTTCTCTTTGAAGATGGGGTAGAGAAAACATCATTGGAAGTGCCCTCCTTATCAGAACTATTAGTCAGCATCAAAACCTAAAACATATTTCGTTTTTAATTAGGGGAGTAAGGAACAATAAACATTATCACATAATATAAAACACACTCAAATTAGGAAAATGTATTACCTGGTCACTGGAACTCATGGATGAAAGATCCAAAGGATAATCACCTTCATCTTTAGGGTCAGCTTGATTGAGGATCTGACTTGTTAAAACCTCAGTCACTTTGTATTCATCATTTCCTCTTGAGATGTTTTCTGGCTCAACACTTACCACAAATTGATAAGTCTTTCCAATGATGTTTTTAACTACATCAGGAGCTGGAAGAGGATCATCAAGTTCCTGTATAAAGTATAGGTATTAGATTATAATCTAGCAAGAAAAGAATGGAGTTAAATTCATATGATTACATATTACCGCTTCATCAGTGCCCTCCAAGAGTTCATAAGCAGGAGTTCCGATTATTTTCTCAACAAAACTATCAAATAACATAAGCTTGGTCTCCCCCGTGTTGTCCATAACGTCTAGGTGGAGCCAGTACCTAAGACAGATATAAAAATTATAAGAATATATCTTATTAATCACGAAGACAAATCTGTAATTTAAGGTAGGTTTAAAACAATGACCTTGCTTCAACTGCAGAAACTTCTGCATTACATTTCTCACATCTGTTCACTATCTTCTTGGCACCAGAGCTAAGAAGTTTCTTAGTTTGGAAGACTTTTTTGTTACATTTGATGTGTGCATAGTAATACCAGGAGTAGTCGAAGTCAATTTGCAAAATGGTACAGAAGATCTTAACCTTCTCAATCTTGAAAAATAATGTAGGGTGAGTGAAGATTTAATATAATTCCCAAATACAGTTAGAATATTGCCTATATTAAAGCTGTAGCAAATACCTCATAAGAGGACTTAAGCTCGGCAATAGTCTTGAGAGGTAACCCTAAGGACCTCTGTTCACGCACCTTTAGAGGCTCAAATCTAGGCTTAGGTCCCATGATAGTCAAGGCAAGTCCATTAGATGGAAGCCTGAACAACAACAAATTAAAGATTAAATGCAAAATTTTAGTCTATTACAAAAACAAAAGTATGTAAGAGTTTGTGGATAACTCACATTCTCCTAAAGTCATCAACAACCGGCAAAATTGGGTTGACTAAAACATCCGAAGCATCAAAAGCATTAGAAATACTCCTAATCTCTGCAAATCATAATGGTAAACAATGATAAATATATGATGGTGTAGTTTTATATAGGGTCATGTAATTCACCAGTAATAACATTACATACCTTTGTATTCTCCTAACTTGGCCCACCTTATCAAACAAATAACGACAGAACCAAGAGACTCTTGCGCAACTTTGCTAATTTGGTCAGCAAACTTTCCCCATAATGAACATGGTAGACGGTTATCACTAACCAAAGAAAAATTATAGAATTAAAAAAACCAAGATAATCAATCAGAAGAAAAGGTTTAATAAAATTGTGTAAAAAAAACAAAAATGCTTACTCAGTGTCTCTTAGTTGAAAATCAATCTTCTTGGTAGGCTTACCATGGACGTCAATTATTTGAACTTCTCCAACATTGACCAATTGACCCAGAACATCTAAAACAGAATCATAGATGTAAATATATATCCCAATGATTAACGTAATATTTATATACAAACATAAATAATTATAAAAAATACTCACCTACCAACTTGTTTTGATCCAAGTTACCAGACAGAATAGTTGTAAAATCAACTAAGTCAAGCCAAACCTCATTAGAAATGGATGGTGAGGGAGAGAAGACAGTAGAGTAGTGGAAATTGATTCTGTAGGCATGAGATGTTGATCGATATGTTCCTGTTGCCTTATTAACCGAGAATTCCTCAATTATCTTCCAATCTCCTTTCTTTACATAACGCTGGAATTTGCTGATGTGTTCCTTTTTGATGCCAGCTTGAATTTTGTTACCCTGTAAAAGAAATAAGATGAGTTATAATGTAACTCATATATATTACAATGATAAATGGAAAATTTTTGAATAGTACTTACATCCTTATCAGCTAGAATCATTTCTAACGACATTCCAGAACCTTTTGTGAAATGAATCCAGGAATGAAGTATTCTAACTTGAATACTCCAAGCCGTTTTTAAAGGCTTCAAGTTGTTGACTGGTGTGTATCGAGTAAGCTGAGCCATTGTTGTGTTTTTTTTTGTTTTTTGCAGGTTAAAAGAAAAGAGGAAGAGCCGATTTTGGTGAGTATAATGGTAAAACCAAGAGGGTTATTTATAGTTGTAGATAGTCGATTAAAATCTTTGAAGATTTGGAAAGATATTAGTTAGATAATACTTAATTTAAGGTATATTCTAAGGTAGCAAAGAGGAATATAGAATCATAACATATATAACAAACAGATTGGACAATAATTTCAAAGATTTTTAGGAAACTGAAATATATTTTTAGGATTCGAGTTATATGGTTTAGCTTCATCAAAGATTACGAATCTTACTCAGAAACAAAGATTTAGGTAAATTAAATTATTGTTTGTTTATATAGGATTCGAGTTAAATTGTTTAGCTTCATCAAAGATTACGAATCTTACTAACATTTTCAATCTCATCTTGTAAAATGATATATTAAAACGTTTAAAATGATATATCATTTTCGAATAGCATTTTTTTTTATAAATTTCTTTTATAATAAATTGGCTTGATATAAAATGTTTTCAATGATATATCATTTTATGTTTACAATTTCAATAACATTTTTATAATTCACTTTATAACATGTTCGAATGATGGATTACTATATAACATTTTGAGTAACATTTTCAATGTGTTAAATTTTTAAATTGGCGGATTGTGTTAAATTATGACTCTCGAATTGATTATTGAACATCATTGTGTTAAATTGTCGAATTGATTAGAATAAGACATTCTCAAATTAGATTATATTGAATTAGATTAAACTATATTAATTATTGAAATTATATAAACAAAATCTTTTGATATCTTTAAACCCGTTGACCCGTTGACCCGTTAAATATATATTAGTGAAATGGAATAAAATGTTTATAATTAGATATCTCTAATGGCATATATTGTAATTTTTTACAAAATCTAAGTTATGAGCCTTAGGATGTACTTCCCAAATATTAGTATAGGATTTGAGAGAAACCTATAAAACCTATAAGTATTGGGAAGAAAAAAATGGAGTAAATAGGTATGGGTCCATGTTAATGATGCATGTGACAAACAATCAAAGCCCACATCATTAATTGGAGATTGAAGAAGAAACAATGCTTTTCATATTCTGTAACACCACTTCAATTCCTTTTTCTCTTGTATCCTATTTCAGTACTATGTCCTGAGAGTGCCCATAACTTCTTTTGTCTTTTTATCTCAGTTTCCACAAGAAAGAATCAACTCAAGCCACAAGAGAATAATTTACCATTATGTGTGATTAGTTTTGTTATAAGACATTCCATAATATTACTCTTGTGTGGTTAGGATAAGTGAAGATGCTTTTGGACCATGTTATATAACAAACATGTGTCTGCAATGCCGCAATGTGTAGCTTTCTTCACTCACAATAATCATTTCTTTTAATTGAATGAAACAAACAAGACATTCAAATAGACCAAAAGCTCCACAGAGATAGAGAGAGAGAGAGAGAAAGAGAGCTTTTCTTCAGAGAAGAATACATGGGTGGCTCTACAAGCAAGCAGGAGAGAAACAGTAGTAAGAGACGCATCAAGGTGAAATCAAATGAACAACAGAGAAGGAGAGAAACAAGAAGAGAGCTTGATGAGAAAGAGAGAGTGATTTTGGCTCTGAAGATGGCAGAGACAGAGTGGAGAAAGGAGAGGAAGAGACTGAGAGAGGAAGTGAAAAGTCTGAGACAGAAGATGGAAGAGAAAGAAGAAGCAAAAGCGAAACAACACGAGTGGGAATGGGTTGTGGAACAGATGTGTCTAGAGAGAGCCGTGAGGGAAGAAGCTGTGGAGAGGTGGAAACAGCTTTATTTTGCTATCAAGAATGAGCTTGATGACCTCATCCACACAACATATGGTAAGAGTTTCCTAACTAATCTCATCTTTTGACTTTGGTTTTGGTTTTTGAGAAAGGAAAGTAATGAGTTGTTTGTAGGAGAGGCACTGAGACAGAAACCTCAAGAAGAAATAGTGCAAGAACTCAGGAAGGAAGTTAAAGTTAGGGGAGAAACTATTGAGACACTCAAGGGAAGAATAGCTTTGATGGAGAAACAACAAAATGGGAAGGAAAGAGAGATTGACTTACTGAGACAGAGTCTGCGAATCCTCGGTAGTAGCAGCGGGAGGAACAAAGCACCGTCATCTACTACCAGAAGCCTGCCAGTATTCAAAACAAAATTCATCGGGTGTAAATAACAGTTTTAGTCATAGCAAATTACTTTCCCACAGGGATTGCTTAATAAAGTAAGCTTCAAGACATAGTAAGCCAAAGTTGTATGTAGTTCACAAGTAATATATCCAGCATCAAGAAAATCCAGTAGAAAAGAAAAACAGTGAATGATCAGAGATTAAGATTCGTTGTGTCAAGGTTGATCTAGATTATGTAGAAACTTAGTACGTAAAAATAAGAACTGCAAACAACTTGCAAAGGTTCCAAAACAAATGAAAGCTTAAGGATTGAGATAACGTACTTCTCCCGCAGCTGTTCTCCTGAAAAGCTCAAAGATGCAGATCATGTTGGATCTAGCCAACCGAGAGCCGAGGTGTTACGATGCCTGTAAGCCAAAAACAACATTCCCTGCCTGGTTTCCCTGAGCATGCAGTGAGAGTATCATGTTTCGAATTCCAGAGTAAATAACAAAAGAGATCATTGTCATCTATACACATTTTGATAACTTTGAACCTTCTTGTCCCCTTTTTGATATCGTGTCTACGTTTAAGTTTACAGGACTGAACCACAGATCACTATAAAATAATTACAATTTGGTACACATTATTCCTTTCATGCGACCCAGTGGATGCTTGTCTCTTGTAAATAGTATACAATGTGAATCCTATATAGCTGGAGCGAGCCACTACATGCTCTCACTTAGCTCTCTCCCACTGATTGGATAGTAGTATTTTCAACGCCTTTCGGATCTTCAACAGTTTTGTAATATAACTTCACACTCTGAAAAGATTGCCAAAAAGACAATAAGATAAGGAAATAATTTACAGTCTTAAACCAACAGGTCCAACACATGCTCCACCAATTGAATCTTCTATAATTTTCATTCTATGTTAGTGTAACTTTTTTTTTTTTTTTATCAAAACTATGTTACTGTAACTATGGGAGAAAAAAGAAGTAAGAAATGGATGGAGACATATGTTATTTTCTGACTACTTATCACTTATCAGGGCCACCAATAACATACCTCTAACAGTGTGATGTAATAGAAATCTTCCATGTGCTGCATAAGGGCACTTCCATCACGAAGTGCATTGAATATTTTAATTTCAGTTTGAAGGATTTTCTCAACGAGTTCCTTCTCACCTTTCATCTGAAAGAAATCATCCATTATTTAATCTCATGTCAGGGTGTCACTCATTTTCTTGTTCAAGTAATATTTTTCACTAGATTTTTTTTGCCTCTCTACATCTTCTGAATAATACCTATATACATAAACTTCTAAATCCCAGAAGAGATAAAAAAGGACAACGCAACAGGAAAACAAGTTTTAAGTTCGTTGATGGATAAATGTTTATGCCACACATGCATATGAAGCCATCACAATAAAATAGCTGCTAATAAATGTGAACCTATAATTATGGGACAGTATTAGGAGCAGCTCCTAGGAAATTATTAGCTATGGAAATTACATAAACCCAACAACAAACATATGCAGAATATATGAGAAACACAAGCAGGAAAATTAAAACTAAAATGATGGTCAAAAGAAATATGTGAAGTAACCAGAGAAATGGTGTAAGAGCACTTACAAATCTACTAACAAGAATATCAGGTGTGGCTTCCCCAATCACCTCAGCATGATAACCATCTTTCTGGAACTCAATATCCTCCTGCAACATTATAACATTGATCAGAAAACTTCTGATTTTTTAATCACCTTAGATTGGAAAATCATATTGTATAACTTACAGAGCTCGTAATGCAGAGTAAGGCATAAAAGGTTGTCACATTCAAAGAAACGTTTTACATAATATACCCTTTTTGCAAGTTACACTAGATACTTAGCTCAGACAGAATGAAACAAATGACAGTTGCTATAAATGTTTCCAGTGACAACAGGCAAGACAACAGAACGAGGAGCATGAATCATTTCGATCGCATAGAACAGCACATCCAAGAAAAATAAGAAATAATGATCTGTGTAGATTAAAAAATGTGATCGAAGGGCGGGCTTACCACATCTCCAGCAGTGAGATAAACAGGATGAGCAACATGACAATAGCCCATTAAGCGAGGGACTGTGGGAATTATGTCTCTATGGTTTACAACTCTCCAGCTATCTTTTACTCTCTGTGGAAGTACAGAATGCAAAACATATAAGTCAATGAAATTTTATGACGACGTGCCATTCTCACTCCCACTTGTTGAGTTAGAAGAAGCATGACCTGGTTATAAATTTCAGCAAATTGTTTGTTGCCTACTCTTGGAGATCCAAAATTGTACATGGTAACAGTGATTGCTCCACGTCTAACAAGCATAAACAAATCATGTTAAATGCCCATCAAGCTGCTTGTCCTCAGGGTGATATGTAGGAGAAGGGAGTTCTCAAAATACTTACTTAGCTAATTGGCTGGAAGAAAGTTCAAGAGCCAAGAGTGTAGCTAATGCACCACCCAAGCTATGACCAGTCACATAAACATGCCATTTATCTTCACGCTCATCAACATCGTCTCTGCCAAGGGGGAGAGAGAGCATATGTATTAGAATTAATGTAAGACTATAGCACACCTCGGAAACGTAAACGTTCAATCGCTATATTCTACTGTCCTCAGTAAATAAAATAAACTTCATCTATAACTTAACATTCCAAGAAGATATGGTTTGGCACTTTCACCAATGAAAGACATTTTGCTTCCCAGCATTGGGGATGCAACCATTGAAACAATAGGTAAGAAAAAACTCCCTGAAAAGAAGAAAGTAAACTGTAACACAAGAAGCACCTACATGTAGCCAATTGCCATTTTGAGCAGCGATATTATCCTTATCCGTACTGAATCGTATGCACTCAAAAATCCACTATGGACCTGCAAAATCCAGAGCAGCATTAAGGCTTAACTCAATAAAGGGTACACCTGACCAATGCCAGAGTTCAAGACATACCTGTACTTCTTGCTTGAAGTCCCCACCAATTCGTTCAGGATTCAGACTGCAACATATTTAAAAATGTCGAGCAAAGGGATGAATAATAACTTATTAAAACTTCAAATGTGTAGATTTAAGTAGTTTCTGAATCAATTTAAAGAAGTTGAACAAACAGACAATACTAACCCAGCAGGAACTAGCATCAAATCAGTCTGCAAGTCTTTCCACTTTGTCTGACAACATGAAAAATTGACATTAAGAACTTAAAGAGAAAAACCAAGAACGGAATATTAAGAAGATATAGACAAATACCTACCTGTTCAGTTCCTCTGAAAGCGATAACTACTCTTTTCCTTCTTGTATCACGCCAAATTGCCACCTGCAGGTTGCATATTAGTATGTCACATATTAACATGACTTTGTATTTTCAGGAAAGGATTCTTCTTCGCTGAAAATACTGTGTTCCCCAAACAACTAGAATCAGTTAGTCTAAGGCATAAGAGTTTTCACCTGTGTGTCAGTGATGTCGTTTTCTAGAAAACATAGCTTTTCAAACTCAGATTTGATAAAGCTTGGATGCCCCAGAGCAGTTGCAAGCATTGCCCATGCCTCCATGGCACTTTCTGCGCTAGAAAAGAGTGTTTTCATTTCCTCAGCATTCTTTTCATCCGCTCCATCAACATTCACAAGACCAGAGAGTTTTTCACTCTTAGAGTCCGTTACACTGGGAGCACCATCTTTTTCCATGACCTTCTCTGTACCAAGACTGTCCTTACTTAGTTGAGGCACTACAGCTTTTAAAACCATTAATGCACCAAAGACATTATCAGCCTGCTTAAGCAATTCTTGTGTCGCATTCTTCATGTCCGTAAGGGAAGACTTGGGCGCATTAATAGCGAGCTGGCCATCTTCCTTTTTATCATCACCTTCTCGAGTATCAGCAGTAGCAAGCCCTGATTCAATGTAACCGGCTTCTGCAGTTTTTCTTGATTGTAGACCAAAATTTTCCAGTAGTTCCATTCCGTTCCACTTCAATTTCTCAGGTGAAGGAAGGCCAAGTTTCTGAACAATACTTTGACCAACTATGTGAGGGATGTTATCCCAGAAATTGCTGCCATTTTCATTGTCACCCTCCAGTTCATTGATGTGGCCATCACCATCACCATCTTTATCTTTGCTAAGCTTTTCTGAACTACTAAGATCAGTACTGCGATCTTGATCGGATGAATCCTCTGCACTAGCCTCATCAGAAAGCATATCTACCGCTGGAGAATGATCATTAGAGTTTTCTTCACCTTCAGAGTCCTCCGCAGCATTGTTTAGAAGTTTAATATTCTTAAGGGGGGCATCATTGAGTGACTTTAACTGTCCAAAGGCATACTCTACAAATTGACGTGCTGGCACGGCTTCAGAGTCGACAAGATTTTTCAAAACTGACTCAACTGCTTCAGAGTCAACAAAATTTTTCAGAACTGACTTAATTTCATTTCTTTGAAGGAATTCTGAAACAAACGGGAACCTCCACCACTTCTTTTCTTCTTCAACTTCTTCAAATCCCTTGTACTTAATCTGAAAGTTTAAATACGGTTAAGACAAAGACCAAACTAGTACATAGACTAATCTATTGGGTTTAGCCTATACAAACATGTAAATCTATGGAACATACGAAAGAAGTACAATTTAATTCCACAAAACTAGAGTGGTCTTAAGTCCTTCCGTTTCAGCTACTGGAGAATCTCAATCATACCCTACTGCTTTGCAAGGCTGTATAATATCTTGTGCTTTTTTGGATGTAAAAGGAGTCTACTGTATTTTTGGAAGTTAAGTAACAGTCTCAGAGTCGAATTGTACCTCTCTTTGAGGTGTTAATGGATGATTCTCTCCGTCAACAGAATAATAATATAGGATAGATTGATCAGCTACACAAATAAGTAACACTAGAGAGAAAAAGCTGTAAAACAGCACAAACTGACCTCCAGTTGAACTTTTCCACCACCTCCAATTCCGTCTAGTTCTACTAACACCTCGTGCAAGTTTCCTTGGAAAGCAAAACACGAACGAATATAAATCAGAGACAAAAGCCGGAAGTTAGACACTCAGTAGATTCATCAGATAACTATTCCACACTTGGATTCTCTAGTCAGGGGATATTTGCAGGTTCTCATTGCCTAGGAAACAAGAAGCATTTTCAGGAAAACCTTCAGCATATCTCTAAATTCCACTATACCCCTAAGCTTCCTAATCTTAGTTCTTGTTAGTGAATGTAGAAATTCTAACTTGCTAGTTTAAAAACCTATACTCAACAACAACACAGACTTTATTCCTCATTTTTTAACTTAAACTTGTAAATTAAATAAATTGATAATGAATGGGTGAACAAATTCTCACCATCACAAACGGATTCCAGGTTGATTTCGGAATTTCCCATCCGTTTATGTGGGGTAACAAGGTTTGCATCCCAAGCTGCAATCTGAAGCTCATTAAACAATTTTTGGGAAGTCAAGCAAAGCTTTATATATTACAAGGTATTTGTCCAGCTACATTCAGAGTTGACCAGGCCACAATAGTTGAAACATTTCTACCTCTATCTTTTTTGCAGGAGGCAGCTTGATATTAAAAACAAAGTCTTCATTCCATTTTGGCTCTTTTGTCCTGCCAATAGAATAATACATTAAGATTTATACCAGTCAGTAAAAAATATGGATTTCTAAGGCTCACAACTTTTGGATAAAACAAAAAAAATCTGCTTCAAACCTCAAGAGTAAAATTTATGAACTAAACAAAGTTGAGGGATATGACAATGGCACCAGTCTTTATTCAAGTTATAAAGTAAATAATGGGTATATCATATCGAAAATAAGACTGCACCAAAACACTTCCACTATGATCAGGCCACAGATTGTGTATGCATCTAATTAAGTGAGTAAGCTCATAAATTCTGCTAAAAAACACGATCCTCCAAATGAAAATTAAAGCATTAAGAAACTTGCCCCCATTTGGTTTTGCTTTTAGCAACCTGACCATCCAAATCCATCACCACATAAGGATCACTCGTTCCCTAAACGCAAAACCAACAAGCAAAATAACTTAGTCAAGATAAAAATAAACAAATAGACATAGCAAGGTCATTGCTCCAAGAATCGTAAAACACACACCCATGGATCCAAAGCAGGAAACTCAAATCCTCTTTTGAGTTTAATAAACAACTGTCCATCATAAATCTCCCTAACAAATGACCTGAAAACAAGTATAGCTCCATCTCTTCAATATCTTAAAAAAATAAAACTCAAAGCAACAAAGGGTCCGAATGGTTGTAGCGGTTAAGGCAGACAAATGCGTTTGTGGACCCAAAAAAATAAAAGAAAACCGCCGCGGACCAACGACTGACCGCTTTTACATACAAATAGAGTTGGTCCGCGGCGCTTTGTTGTCCGCCCTAAAAATAGAGCGGACTAAACCGCTGACAGATTTGTCCACCCCGACCGCCGTAACCATTCATACCCAAAATGTCTAAAACCAAAAAGAGCTTCACATACTCAGAAAGGTAGAGAGTGTTACATCCAGCTGCATTAACCTCTCGCTTCCCAATATTTTCCTGAGAATCAAACAGAAAATCTTAAGCAGGTTCGTTAATTTTTCCTAGAAAAATTCTCAGAGGAGAATCAGAAGTTACCGGAGGTGAAGCGTAGGATTCGAAAGCAAAACCAGCGAGGATAACGGCGAGATTGATATCAAACGAAGATCGTTCCTCAAACTCAGGTAAACTTACTTCCTTCGTATCCGATTGAGTGAAGCAACGGAACGAATTAGGTTTGGCTTTGATTCTGAAACTTTGACGGAATTTGATTTTCCCGGGAAAGTGGAAGGTGCGGGGAGTGAAGATAGGAGAGTAGCGGAGACGGTGTTTTGGACTGAGGAAGTGAAGAGAGCAGTGTAATTGCAGAGAAGTCATTGCTTGAGAGTGAATTCGAGAAATTTGGAGAAGAAGAAGAAGAGGATTTGTTTTCTTTCTGGAGAATTCTCTGGAGCTGATTGTTTTGTTGTCAAAATGGATTACCATTAACGGTTTCTTTTTTTCAATTGACAGTGAAATTAATTAATTAAGAAAATTGCACGAGTGAGCACTTTTTAAAACATTATTATGCTACTAGACTTTTTGTTTTTGTTCCTTTTTTTAAAGATTATCTTCAGTGTTTTTGGCAATTTAGTGATAATTATGAGAATCTATAATTAGACATGGAAAGTCAGTTTCAAATGTTATTTGCTCATCTAAGACACAAATGTTGGAAAAATAGTCTATTTCTCCACGAGAAGTATCACATTATAATAGATAGAGTCCAAACTTTAATTCCAGAGTCCTAATGTCCATGAAATGGAAGTTCTATTCCTATTTTCCCCTGAATCGAAAGTTCAATGCCTAAATGTCCCCGAGTCAATAGTTCCAAAGCTAAAACTATATAGAGCTAGGTTTATCGGTTTACTGTATTCAAAACCAATTAAAAACCCAACTAAACCTAATTATAACCAGATTAAACCCGATTTTTGCCCATTGACGACCCGATTTAAGTATCTAAACCTAAAATCCCCAAATTGAAACCCTAAAATCTAAAATCCCCAAATCAAAAGAACCTTAGAGACAAATTGTGAAATCGAAGGTTCTAATCTGCTTCTCAAACTCGAAGGTGCGATGTCTTTAGTCGTTCATGATCCGGAGGTTATAGGTGATGTTGATCCTGAAGGTGAAGACAGAGATCAATTCCACATCGAAGAAATGTTGAATGAGTGGACCGACGAACCCCTGTTCTGTCATGATGTGTACTGAGAGAGCGATGGTGAAGAAAACGACGACGGTCCAGGGAGATTTCATACTCATATTTGGCGCGGTGATGGGCATTTGTACCATAAACAAACATTTTTCAGTGGAGTTGCTTTCAAAGAAGCGGTCGTTGATGATGCTCTCAGAACTGGATGCAATCTGAAGCAGTACATGTATGATCAAGATAAGATTGATTTCGAATGTGTTGGTAATGATGGTAAGGAGGAGGGAGTACAGTGTGATTGGCAAGTATATGCGTGATTAGGAAGTTCATAGATAAGCATAGCTGCATCCCAAATGGAGAGTGTGAGATGTTTAAGATGCCGCATATAGCTAGGTTGTTTGTTGATAAGATTAAAGATAATCCGGAATTCTACATGCCATCTAAGATTGAAGAACTCATAAAGGAACAATGGAAGATTAATGTCACTAGAAATCAATGTCAGGCTACGAGGAAGAAGGCAGGGCAATGGATTGAGAAGGAATACGATGTTCAGTTTGCAAGATTAAGAGACTATGCGGGTGAGATACTTGATGCAAACCCGGATTCACATGTAGAAATTGATTGTCTCGCGAATGATGAAGGTAAAGACATGTTCATCATGTTCTATGTTTGTCTTGCATTGATGGCTGTTTGCATTAGAAAGACTTGGAAAGAGAGTTGTAGGCCTCTTGTTGGCATTGATGGCTGTATTTTGAAGAATTTCTTGATACATAATGTCTTGATCAAAAATCCAAACTACAAACACCATTGTTTTAATCATAAATCTAAAGCTAGAACCAAAACAAAAACATTTCAATAAATACAACAAAAACAGTGATGTGATCAATGGTTCATCCGACTAGTTTGTTGAATCCAATCATGATCATACACCCTATCACTACGACAATCATCATCTTCTTAGTGCATCCTTTGGCTTCAGACAAAGCATCTTCCACCTTCTCAAATATCTCCTTCTCTATCTTCATTTGGACCTTCTCGCAAACCATCTTCTCGAACTCCAAACTCTCTGTTTTAAGCTCTTTCAGCTCCTCCTCAAGTTCACTATTCTTTTCTTTTAATGTCTCTATCTCATTGAGCAAGGCTTCATCAACCCATTTGAACGTGTGTTCATCGTTCCTAAGATACAAATTAACAGTCATTGATCGAGTAGTATAATCTCAAACAAGATTCAATTCAAAACAGTTGAAACAGAGGCATAAAATTACCCTATATTTTGCAGCAAAACCACAACGATAGTATCCGACAAGGATTGGGGTCGGATTTCAAATTAATGCCAAAATATCTTCTCCGCACCAACATCTCTTTGGCACCCCAACTATTCTGCCTCTTCAACAAGGACCTATAGATCCCGCCGAACTCGTTGATATATTGCTCATCTTGCAACTCGAATTCTGGGTTTCAAATCGAAATATGAGAATTTTAGGGTTCTTGAGTTGGGGATTTCAAAATTTTGGGATTTAGAATTTTGGGGTTTAAACGCATACTGGGTCGGGTTTTAATACGGAATCAGGTTTTTATTGGTTAAGTTACGACCAATATATGGTTTGATCTCGGGTCTACGCACCAAACCGACGAAACCCAGACTCGGGGACATTTAGGTATTGAACTTTCGATTCGGGGGGAAATAGGAATAGAACTTCCATTTCAGGGACTAAAGTTTGGGCTCTATCTGTTATGATGCGATATTTTTCGTAGAGAAATAGACCGTTTTTTCCCACAAATGTTACCTTTAAAGTTTCAAAAGGATAATGATTTCTGATACTTCCAGTTTTTTTGTGGAACATCTTATTTATCTTAGTGGATATAAATGGGCTTCCATGTCCATTAACTACATAAATAATAAAAACTCTTAGTAGAAATGTAGAATACAAGAAATTATATTTGTAGAATGTCTTACCTTAGTGTAGTCATTTCCAATCAGTCAATCACCATGTACCATCAAAGCAAGTGAAAAAAACACGGGTTCTTAAGACTGGGCAAATCTAACCTTGCCAAAACACGCGCAACTTCTCAACGCACATGCATTCAATGCATATCTGCTTGTAATGATGATGAAACTGAGGCAGACATAATGGCTACCTTTCGCTACTATCACCCTAAATTATCAATGTATATCGAGAGAACCCTTGTAGATCTCAAACAAGAGATAATCATTACACAGAAAACTCATTGTTTAAGAAGCTAATTGAGCCTTGCTCAAGATTTTTTCTACAACAAGATGATTTGTGCTTGTTGCAAGTGCGTGCCTATACACATTTGAACTCAGGACGATGTTTGTATCTACGAACTCGAGCAAACGAGCACACATTATCTACATTTTTTGTTTTTTCCTGATACAAATTTTCATATCTCTAAAACAAAAGAAAAAAAGAAAGAAAATTTTACGAATTAGACCGCTCTAGACACATCAAACCATTTTTCGTAATGAAATTAATCCTAAAAAAAAAAACTAACCCACAATTTATATTCTAAAATGGATAAAGGTAAAATTCTCATAAGAATCTTGAAAGTTAGATTTTTCCGATTCCTACAATACACCTTCAACATACAAAATAACTTACAAAAAAAAAGTACTCAAATAGAAATCCAAATGTTCGACATCAATCTCATTAATAGAAATGTCCATTTTCCGTTTTAAATAGTGACATTGTTTTTAAATATATTTTTCAAAAGAAATAAAACTTCTTTACTATAAAGTATAAACTTGAAAAAATTAAATTTTTTTATTTTTCTGTCTCTTTTACCTTGCTACCTCAGGTCTTATGTTATATATATATACATTTTTTTTAAAAAGCTAAAATATATTATTCTTAAAAAAAAAATACATTTCAAAACCATGTCACTATTTTTTAACGAAATTGTTCACAATTCCGTTAGTGAGACTAACCTCATACATTCAATCCTTTTTGAGTGTTTTTCTTGATTATTTTGTATGGTGAAAGTTTGTTGTAGCAATCGAAAATATTAGAAATTTTGAGTTTGGAGTTAGAATAATTTTCAGGGGTTTTTATGTGATTTTGTTTTTTTTGGTAGTTCCTGAAAATTAGAAAAACATAATTGAATGCAATGCTGATGTATACTTATCATTTTAATTCATTCAACAATGAAAATAAAATAAGTAAACTTACATCAACGCTGCACTCAATGATGTTTATTCAAACCCAGGGAAAAAATTTCTCTTCTTGCTCATTTCTATTACCATGGAGATAAACACAAACATCATTTATAAGACATTGGTCGTGTCTTTAGTTTGGAAGCAGTACAATGCTTTCTTGTACTACTATGTACGATTAAGGAATTGTACTAAATCGTATTTTTTTGGGTTCCAGATTCCTTTTTCAGGATTTTTTAAATTATAGTTGCCTTTAGTTTTCATGTGATTGCAATACAAAAACATTGTTAATATTCTTCTTACTTAAAATAATGCATGTTTTCGTATGTACTAAAAGATCGGTGTTCTTTGTGTACTGCAACGAAACACAAACTTTTATGTACTACATGAGATTATCTTCACTTCAACGACGTCGTTTGGTCTTAAACTCCCATTTTCTGCTTTTTGACTTTTAGGATTAATCGGTTAGTTATAATAATATAAAAAGGGAAAATTCCCAAAAAAAACCTCATATATTTTTTATTTGGACGTTTAATACCCAATTGTTTTCGGTTGGAAGAAAAATACACATACTAATAAAACTGTGCGATTTAATACTCAAACAATTAAATGTTGTTATTTTCATACTCACGAACTCACAACAAAAAAAATATTCCAATTTTACCCTTACCATCTCAATTAATTATTAACTTTTAAATAACGTGGTATTATTTTTTATTTAAATAAAAATTAATTTTGTTAATGTTTTATTTTATGTTGCCTAAAAAATAAATTTTAAATTTATATAATTATTTTATTTTAAAATTAAACATAAAAATTAGCAATAAATCAAAAATATTAAAAATAGTCATTTGTACAATCTTATTCCGTCTTTGCAATGTCAAAGAGACGTTTCCTCTTCGATTCTAATTTTTTCGATTAATATCTACGAGAATTACCGGTAAACAATCTCCGTCGTCCTCTTTTGCAACCATCAAATTCGATAACCGTTCACAATCTCCTTTTAATCCTATCCAAAATTTTCATCGCCAATAAAACTAATTTGATTTGATTCGTCGTGATACATATGATATCAACGAGCATCAATATGAACTTTTTCTTTGTCGTGAGAAACTCTCTATTCGAATATAAATCCTTCACGAATGAAACTATTTTCGATAAAATCTCAATCCGAATCTCATCGTCTCTCTCAAGATTTATCAATTCATAAAAATGGCTAATTTTATTTTTAACTTTTTCTAAATTTTTTGCTAATTAATTTTATTTTTAATTTTTAAAAATTAAATATTTGTAAAATAAACTGCAAATTATTTTGAAATTTTTTTAAAATTTTTTTGGGATAACAAAGAAATGAAATATTAATAAAATTAATTTTTATTTAAATAAAAAAACTATTGTCACCTAATCTAAAAGTTAATAATTAATTGAGATAGTAAGGGTAAAATTGGAATTTTATTTTTGTTGTGAGATCGTGAGTATGAAAATAACAATATTTAATTGTTTGGATATTAAATCGCACAGTTTTATTAATATGTGTATTTTTCTTCCAACCGAAAACAATTGGGTATTAAACGTCCAAATAACAAATAATTGAGGTTTTTTTTGGGAATTTTCCCAATATAAAAATTAAGAGTGTTGCTAATTTGATTCATTCCTTTAAAATAGAAAATTGAAAGCTGTGATGTTACAACATCTTATTACATCTCAGATTTCGGATCATATGATCACAAAATCTTTCAAAACAAATAATCTTATTACAAACATAATTTGGAGAAACCCAAAATTTCAAAAAACAAGAAAGTATTCATATATATTTTAAATAAAATAGTTGAGAAGTATGAGTATTCATATTCTCATTTCTTCTCGTTCATGCCAAGACTGTTCTTCACACCATCAAGAGCACCTTGAGCCATGTTCTTCACTGATTCACCGGTCTACGTATATAGATTTAAGGGTTTATATATCAGTTTTGTTAGCAAAATTTGTATTTTAGTTTCAACAATTATATATAGTTATGTAAATAAATTTACCTGGCCGAATAAACCAGCAGCTTGTTCCTGGTTATGTTGGGCAGATTTGTTAGCGGAATGAGATGCATCAGCGGACTTGTCACGAGCTGATTGTGTCAAATCTGCAGCCTTATCACGTGCTGATTGTGTCAAATCAGCAGTCTTATCACGTGCGGACTGTGCGGTTTGCTTCGCAGACTCGGTCCATTGCTCAGCTTTCTCCTACAATATCCATCAAAACCATATATAAACATTAAACATACTTAGGATTTGGTAACACATTTATTCGATAATACAGTTTGAAGTTGGTAAATATAATGTAAGAAAGATTGAGATCGGAAAACGGACTTGAGCTTGGCCTCTGTTCTGGCCAGCGTTGAATTGTTGTTGCGACATGATTGATGATTCAAAAGGGATAGAAGAGGATTTGAAGTTTGTGAGAGGAGAATTGTTTTAGCTTTGATTGATTGAATTGGTTTGATACGAAGTGTATTTATAGTGTTTCTTGTTGCATTTTTTTTGAATTTTGAGTGATTAGTGAATTAAGACTTTTTTAATTTTTGTGGATTGATTGATGTCGATGTTGAGAGAATTGTGGGTGGCCATTTGTGTTTCCTAACATCTTCTTTGACTCTTTCTCTTCTTTTACTCTTTCTTTAGACATAAAAAAAAATACTACAAAGTAAAAGTTTTCATTCTACCCAAAATAGAAACCAAACTTGGAACAATGAAAAATTAGAAAGCAAAACCAATGTTTTTACGGGTCACTTTTAAAAATTTAATTACTTTGTTTTGAATTTAATAATAGAACAATTATCTAGGATTACGTATAGACAAAAAATTATTAATTACTTTCAACCTTTTGATTTCACGGTTATGATACAAACCAACTCGGTATTGAGATTTTATTCTAAAGTAAATGGATATGCCAAAATATTTATTATATTCAGAGCCGCAAGCATGAGTTTGCCCTGCTTAATTTTCAAGACCGAGTCTGGCTGCAAGATTTTATTCAGTTTTGGTTCGAGCACACTCAAGTTTAGCCTTAGCCTCTAGGTTACTTTGTTTTTCTGTTTTCCGTTCAAAAAGCTTTTGTAAATATTATTTTTTGTTCAGTAATAAATATAACAGTACCAAAAGATACCAACAGGATAATCAAATATACGTAGATTTAGTAGTCGTTGTAATATAGTCATTTGGAAAATAATGTGTGTCGATAGCAAGCAAGATTCGAACCTTGTTTAAGAGGGTTTCGACCCTGCTTTAAAAAAAACATAAAACAAGTATTTCATTCATAATTTTTCACTTGAGAATTTGGTTTTGCACTTTAAATCTCTTTTAAAGTTTTACACTGTACCTTTTAACTCTTCCACTTTGGTTTTTATTTTACTAAACTAAATTTCTCTACTTTCAAACTTTTCCACTTCTTTGATTGTTGGTTTTGAATTGGTCTATGGTTAGTTTCACGTTTTTAATAAGCTCCTGTTGTTACGGAGTCAATGGGTTATCCCAAGTATTTAGCTTCTGTTAGTAGTAGTTCCTAAATTTCTGCTTCAAGTAAATGTAGAAGACAGAGTTTTCATCTCAAGGCTATATAAAGCCATCTCTTTTATCTTAATAAACATCGAATCATTCAGTTCCTTTTGAGTGTTTAGTCTCTGAGATCAACAAATCTGGTATCAGAGCTTAAATTTCTGGGTATAAGGGAAACACGAGTGATTGAGAGGAAACACGGGTGAGAGATTAAGAGAGAAAATGGGAGATTCAAGCAATTTTGCTCAGCCGAGCATACCAAAGTTTGACGGTGATTACGATCACTGGAGCTTACTCATGGAGAATTTGCTGAGATCGAAGGAGTATTTTGGTGTGGTGAAAGATGGTGTTGCAGAGCCGACGAACGAGGAAGTGTTGTCGGAGGCACAGAAGAAAGCTCTTGCCGAGGCAAGATTGAAGGATCTAAAAGCTAAAAACTATCTCTTTAGCGCAATCGACAAGTCCATTCTCAAGACAATTACCTTGAAAGAAACCTCTAAGCAGTTGTGGGATTCGATGAAGACGAAGTATCAAGGTAATTCAAGAGTAAAGCGTGCTCAATTGCAAACGTTAAGGAGAAGTTTCGAGCTTTTGGAGATGAAAATTGGTGAATCCATCACTGATTACTTCACAAGAGTGATGGTGATCGCTAATGACATGAGAAACTGCGGAGATGATATGCAAGATGTGAAGATAGTAGAGAAGATCTTGCGAACATTAACCGAAAACTTCAACTACATTGTCTGCTCCATCGAAGAATCCAAAGACATTGACAGCCTTTCAGTTGATGAGCTGCAGAGCTCCTTATCGGTTCATGAGCAAAAAATGAGAAAACCAAGTTATGGAGGAGAAGAACAAGCGCTGAAAATCTCTTATGAAGAGCGTGGTGGTAGAGGCAGAGGAAGAGGAATGGGAAGAGGAAGAGGAAGAGCGAGGTCATTTAACAAGGCAACCATAGAGTGTTTCAAATGTCATAAGCTCGGCCATTTTCAATACGAATGTCCGAGTATGGAGGGTAAGGCAAATTATGCGGAAGCAGACGGTGAAGAAGATGAGGTCTTGTTAATGGCGTTCACCGGAGAAAGTGACAGTGAAGGCAAAGAAGAGGTATGGTTCCTTGACTCGGGATGTAGTAATCACATGTGTGGAGACAAATCTTGGTTTTCGGAGCTTGATCAAGGTTTTCGACACACTGTGAAATTGGGGAACAATGCGTCTCTTACCGTCCTTGGAAAAGGAAACGTGAGTCTACGAGTTAATGGAAGGTTACACACGATCAGCGACGTATATTTCGTACCAGACCTGAAGAGCAATTTGGTGAGTATAGGACAGCTTCTGTTGAAAGGGTGTGAGGTTCTGATGAAGGAAGGAGTTTGCAAGCTGTATCATCCAGAGTTTGGTTTGATCATGGAGTCCGAAATGACGAAGAACAAATTGTTCAAAATCTCAGCAATCAAAACTGCTGCCGTGGAGTGCCACAAAGTCTCGGAGTTAGGAGAATCTCAGCTTTGGCATCGAAGGTATGGACACCTTAACCACAAAAGCCTGAGGACTTTGCAATATCAGAATATGGTGATAGGAATCCCTCAGATAAAGAAGATAGAGGAGTCTGAAAAATGCGTAGATTGTCTTGTGGGAAAGCAACACAGAGAAAGTGTTCCAAAGAAGAGTATGTGGCGTGCATCGAGAAGGCTGCAGTTGATACATTCTGATTTGTGCGGTCCGATATCTCCAGCCTCAAACAGTGACAAAAGATACATTCTCACCTTCATCGATGATCACAGCAGGAAGGTTTGGATTTATTTTTTGTCACATAAATCAGAAACTTTTGTTTCTTTCACAAGATTCAAAAGTCAGGTGGAAAGAGAGACTGGAGAGGCACTGGTATGTTTGAGAACAGATAGAGGAGGGGAATACATGTCCAATGAATTTAAAAGTTTCTGCGAGGAGACGGCGATAAGCAGACAACTAACAACAGCGTTTACGCCTCAACAAAACGGAGTGGCCGAAAGGAAAAATCGCACAATCATGGAAATGGTGCGGTGCATTCTAAGCGATAAAGATGTTCCGAAAAGGTTCTGGCCTGATGCTGCGAGATGGGCCGTCCACGTTCTAAACCGAAGTCCCACCTCAGCTTTGAAAGAAAAAACACCAGAGGAGATGTGGAGTGGAATCAAACCAAAGGTGGATTATTTCAGAGTTTTTGGGTGCTTGGCACATGTTCATGTTCCAGAGCAGAGGAGGAAGAAATTGGATGACAAGAGCATTGTATGCGTGCATATTGGAGTAAGTAGTGAGTCAAAAGGCTATCGCTTGTTCAATCCAGCCACAGGAAAAGTGATGACAAGTCGTGATGTTGTATTTGAGGAAGAAAAAGGTTGGAACTGGGAAGGAGCAGGTGGAAAAATAAGCGATGAACAACTGGTTTGGGAAGATAATGAAGAAGAAATCAGTGGAGAAGAAGGTTTAAATCAGGAGGAGCATGCGGTGCAAGAACCAACGGTGGAGAGACAAGAGGAGACGTCTCCGGTACCAATGCCAATGCCAAGGACTCGCAGACCACCACCATATCTGCGTGACTATGAGACTGGTGAAGAAGAAGAAGAAGAAGAAGAAGCGGAAGATGACATGGTAGATTTTGCATTGTTTGCTCCATTGACTGATCCAGTCACGTTTGATGAAGCTAAAGGAGAAGAAAAATGGTGCAAAGCTATGGAAACTGAGCTGGAGTCAATTGAGAAGAATGGAACTTGGTTTCTCACCGATTTACCTAACGGAGCAAAGAAAATTGGTGTGAAATGGGTATACAAGACAAAGCTAAACGAAAAGGGAGAGGTGGATAAATTCAAAGCTCGGCTCGTGGCAAAAGGGTATGCTCAAAGGGAAGGTGTAGACTATGATGAAGTTTTCGCTCCAGTTGCAAGATGGGATACCATAAGGATGATCTTGGCACTGGCAGCTCAAGAAGATTGGCTTGTTTACCAGCTTGATGTGAAGTCAGCCTTCTTACATGGTGAGTTATCTGAGAATGTGTATGTTGAGCAGCCGTTGGGTTATGTCAAAGAAGGAGAGGAGCACAAGGTCTACAAGCTCACAAAGGCCTTGTACGGTTTAAAGCAAGCACCTCGTGCGTGGTACAGCAGGATTGAAGCCTACTTCTCAAAGGAAGGTTTTCAGAGATGCGAGTACGAGCATACACTGTTTGTAAAAACAGAGACTGGTAACAAAATTCTGATTGTTAGCTTGTACGTTGATGATTTGATCTATACTGGGAACGATGCAGGCCTGCTCCAAAGGTTCAAGACATCCATGAAGAAGGAGTTTGATATGACAGATTTAGGGAAAATGAAATATTTTCTGGGTGTTGAAGTGATTCAAGATGCAGATGGGATCTTTATTCATCAGAAAAAGTATGCTGGAGAGATCTTGGAAAGATTCAATCTGCTGAATTGCAATGGAGTGAAGAATCCAATTGTACCAGGGACGAGACTGTCAAAAACCGGGGATGGTAACAAGGTGGATCCGACGACGTATAAGCAGCTCATTGGAAGCTTAATGTACATCACTTCTACACGGCCAGACTTGATGTACGCTGTGTGCTTATTAAGCAGGTATATGGCAGATCCATATGAGCAACACATGAGTGCAGCAAAGAGAGTGCTTCGCTACCTGAAAGGTACTCTTGGTTTTGGTGTCTTTTACAAAAGAAAGGAAGTTAGTGAGTTAATGGTCTATACGGACAGTGATTATGCTGGTGATATTGATGATAGAAGAAGCACTAGTGGTTATGCATTTTTGCTCAGTGGTGGAGCTGTAGCTTGGGCGTCAAAGAAGCAGCCGGTGGTGACACTATCGACAACAGAAGCAGAGTTTGTTGCGGCAGCTTACTGTGCTTGCCAATGTGTTTGGATGAGGAGAATCTTAGAGGAATTTGGGTTGACACAATCAGGAAGTACTACGATCATGTGTGATAATAGCTCAGCCATTAAGCTATCCAAGAATCCAGTGCTTCACGGTCGCAGCAAACACATTGATGTTAGGTTTCATTTTCTCCGAGATCTTACCAAGGAAGGAGTCGTGAAGCTAGTTCACTGTGGAACAAGTGAGCAAATTGCAGACATTCTCACGAAGCCTTTACGCTTGGAGACGTTTGTTCGGTTGAGGGAAAAGCTTGGAGTTTGCGAGAAGATAAACTGATAGCTACCGCATTCAGTTTAGGAGAGGCAATGTTGGTTTTGAATTGGTCTATGGTTAGTTTCACGTTTTTAATAAGCTCCTGTTGTTACGGAGTCAATGGGTTATCCCAAGTATTTAGCTTCTGTTAGTAGTAGTTCCTAAATTTCTGCTTCAAGTAAATGTAGAAGACAGAGTCTTCATCTCAAGGCTATATAAAGCCATCTCTTTTATCTTAATAAACATCGAATCATTCAGTTCCTTTTGAGTGTTTAGTCTCTGAGATCAGATTTCTTCAAAGGTTTCCCACTTAATCAAATAACCTTTCTAAATGTAAAAATAATAAAATATAAATCGACTTTGTTAAATTACTTCCAATAGATAGAAAATTTTTAAAACAAAGAGACCTTTCATCTTATATAGCAATAATTACAACAAGAAAATCTAGTATGAACTTTGTTACACCACTTCCACACACATTTTGACAAAATTAATTTTTTCCCATTTTACCACATTCGAGCTTATAACATTGTGGTGAAAAAAAAAAAAAAAAAAAAAAACATTGTAATGGGCCTAAATGAAATCAAAGCCCAAACCCAAAAAGAAACATCGACTTGTCCGCACACAAAACCCTATAATCCCTCTCTGTTCCACTTCGTCTCTCTCTCACTCTCTTCTTCATCACACCGAGAAATTCGAAAAATCCCAATGGCCAAGAAACTTTCCAACCCTCTAGAAGATCCACCAACCGCTTCTTCAAGCGACGAAGACGAAGTTGAGATTTCATCTGAACAAGATGATGAAGAACAGATCTCTAATTCTTCTTCTGAAGAAGACGAACCCAAAGATCCCGTCACAATTCCCTCCACTAAAACCCCAAAATCTCCTTCCGCCGCCGCTCCAACTTCCGATTCTGACTCAGATAAGCCAATCGTCTTCACCAAACAGATGAGGAAGGAAGGTACCGATTCACCGGCGGTGAAATCAGGGAAGAAGCGAGCTAGTGAAGGAACCACCTCAAAGGACATCAAAAAAGCTAAGAAAGTTTCAGGAGACGACGGTAACAAAAAGCCGCGTTTTCAGAGATTATGGACTGAAGAAGATGAGATCTCTCTGTTACAAGGCATGATTGATTTCAAAGCTGAGACAAGTACAAGTTCTTATGATGATATGAATGGGTTTTTTGATATCGCCAAGAAATCTGTAAGCTTTGATGTTAGTAAAAACCAATTCGGTGACAAGATTAGAGGTTTAAAGAAGAAGTATTTTGGTCAAAGGAAGAAGAAAAGTGTTGAATCGGATCATGATAAGAAATGTTTGGAATTGGCTAAGTCTATTTGGGGACTTGATGGTATTGGTGTTGTTGAATCTCCTGTGAAATCTAAGAAGAAAGATGAATCTGTTGTTAAGGCTAATGGGAAGGAGAAGAAGTTCGAGTCTTTGGTTGAAGAAGATAAGGAAGTGGTGAATCTTGGAGGAGATGTGAAATCTAAGAAGAAGAAAGATGAATTTGTTGTGAAGGCTAATGGGAAGGAGAAGAAGTTGGAACCTTTGGTTGAAGAAGATAAGGAAGTGGCGATTCCTGGAGGAGATTCGGAGTCGTCGAATTGGTTTGAGAAATCTTTTTTGGTTCGGGTTGTTGCGAGTCTCGGTGTGGATGAGTGTTTTGTGAAGTGGAAATGGAGTAAGGTGCCTGTGGAGACTAAGAAGAAGATTGAAGAGAAGATAAAGATGGTGGAGGCTAAGGAATTTGAGTTGTTGTCGCAGAAGATTGATATTTTGAAGGAGGTGAGTTCGGTGATTACTGAAACCAACTAAGAATAAGTAATTGGATTGTATCGGTATATCGGTTTTTAATCGCGGGTTTAATGGAGATGTAATGCCTCTTTTGTTATCTTAGGATTTATTGTTCTATCTACGTATTCTTGTTTGAGAATTAGCTAAGAAGAGGAAGACAAGTTGTCTAAAAAGCCTTTTGGTCGATGGTTGTAATGAACTTAAGACTTTGTAAGCTTTGCAATTTGAGAAGAACTAACTGATTTTAATACAAGTAGATGGAGCTTTATGTTTATATATATGTACTAATGACCCATAACACTAATTTACAATGAAAACGAGCTCTTCTTCGTTTTATTTGTTTTCTTTTCGTTGTTTCTTAAAAAAAGTATTTCTCATACAAAACACTTGTGTCATCCAGACTAAAGGATGCTTTCATGAGTTTAAGAATGAGTTTGAGATTCATAAGCCTACTTTTGTTTAAACAGAATCATGGGTGAAATGAAAGTAACTTCTAATGGTATACTTGTGATGCCAAGACCAGTGATGTGATTGGGCTAGACCTTGATTACTTTCAGCTGTCTCCATGGCGGCCGAGTCCAAAAGTTTTCTTTTTAAACCGCGGCATCTCCGTGATCCGATGAACCTTGCTTACAACAGTTTCACCTATTGTAAATACTAATGGTAAGGAATTCTACTTTTGTTTTCTTGTTGCTTGATTTGATATCCATCGGATGATCAATGATCTTCATTGATGTTCATTCGACTTCACTCACTCTAATTCTTGGTCCTGAGTTTGGAATTAAATTCACTCTCTGAAATTCATCTCCTTTGATTCAAACGTCATAGTTTTACGTCTCATCCAGTAGACGGGATGATGTGAGACTTCCTTTACTCCTAGAGTTGCTGTGCTATACATTTTATAGTGACAGACCATCCATGTGGCTCCTTGAAACAATAATCCACATCCAATGGACCATCTTCATATTCGTGAATGACTACATTCCCTTCAATCATTGGACACCGTTATGACGACTCATGAAACATGATCCTTGTGGTTAACATTTCAGTGACAGTATAGAGATCCTTGTAAACGCTGGTTTAGTTGAAGTTTCATTAATAGCACAGAGCGGAAGCACATTCTTTCTCATGGACTAATAATGCCCTTTCATTGTTTAAGGATACTTTTAGGGTTTTGAATTTTTAGTATTAATAAGCCGTTTAGGCCTAGTATTAAGTTTTGATTGAGTTTTGATATTGTTAACAAAGTTGGGATTGTTCTCCTATGCGAATCACTGTTAGAAATGAAATTAACATTTGAAAGACTTCAACTTTTATTTAATCAATAAAACTCTCATATCAACAAAAAAAAATAAAACAAAACAAAACAAAAAAGTCTCATTTCTAATCAGTTTCTATCTAAATAATTTGACAGAATGTTATGTTAATTAAAAGTCTCAAATCAAAAGAAAAAAAAAACAAAACAAAAGAAGACGTACCGTTGAGGGCGTTGATATAGTACTATTTCTGTTCCATGAAGATTGATGTTATGAGTTTTTTTCTTGTTCTACAAAAATTGATGTTTTATATCAATATTATTGTTATTTTAATTTTGACCAATAGTAAAAGGAAATAAGTAAAATTAGTATTACTAAACAAACAAAATAATAATAAAAAATTATAAAAGTTAGTTTTTTTTAATTTGTGTGAAAAATCGACAACATCAAATTTCATAGAACAGAGGAAGTATATTTTTTCTCACTTTTCCCGAAAAATAAGCCGTTTGGACCTACAACTGTATGGAGTTTAGACCAAAAATTGTATGGAGTTTTTTTTATTACTATTATTTAGTTTTGATATTGATTAATAAAGGTTGAGACAGTTCTCATATACGAATCACTATTAATATGAAGATAACATTTGAAACACATGACATGAATTACTATTTAATCAATAAAAGTCATTATAAACAAAAATAAGAAAAAAAAAAAACAAAAAAGTCTCGAATCAACAAAAAAAAAAAGAACCCGTACCGTTGAGTCGTAGTGTCTGTCTACTTTCATCAGAGATTCACACAGTAATTATCAACATATCAATTAAGAATAATAAAACATATGAAGCAAAGAATAAAAGTCAACCGATTAAATAGAAATCTGTATCGTTTCGCTAACCATGTCCACAATGTAAATTATTGAAGAATTCTTTTAGTTTTTGTTTGCTTGCTTGGTATTAGAACTAATTGAATAAATTAAAGTTAAATGGTTTAAGACAAATAAAAAAATTGATCGAAAACTAATACTTTTGCATGAATCGGATTTTTTTTTTTTTTTTCAACAATTTTATTAGATTAGCTTATACAAGCCAATAGAGAATACTATTTATATAGATAATAATATGCGGTTGAGTACAAATTGTTCGTGCCAAATTATCCATTTTTACATTTGCACATCAAGAAATCAAAAATAATGAGAAAAAATCAAACTTATCCGTGTCACTCTGAATCGTCTCTAGATATGAAGAGAAGGTTGGCCGCTCCATCGGAGAAGACACCATCTTCAACAGGTCTGAGTAGTCTGTAAAGAAACTCACTTTTCGTTTGTTTTGGCTAATCATACATCTCATAGCCCAAACGAGTGCTTTAACTTCTGCGTGTAGACATGTTAGACTCTGTCGAAGGTGGTTGTGCCCATTGTTGTCTCGTTAGCATTAGGTAGTATACAAAACTATTCTAAACCCGAAAAATTATTACTCTCTTTCCATGAGCTATCAATGAAACATCTATACCCGTGGAATTTATATCCTTGGGGCCAACTGTGCCAAAATATTAACTACCTCCATTTGGGCTTGATTCCAAGCATTTGCCTCATTTCCGCTAATTTAAGTGTCTCTCTAGGATCTTGATTAATGTTTTTGTGTATTTTCTCATTCTGTGCTTTCTAGATATACCACATGATTCAAGAAAAACTTGAACTATGCACATCTATCAGTGTTCTCCAAAACAAATGATCAATGTTCACAAATAGTGATAAGCATCGGAAAATTCCTGGAACCGTTGGTATTTGCGATAAAGCCCATATTTGAAGGGCTGAGAGCATTCAAAAATTGCATGGTTAATTGTCTCCTCTGGAGCTCCTCATCTACCACAAACTGTATCACAATCAATACCTCTTTTCCTTAGATTTGAAGTAACATGCACACACCCCGTACTAACTTGCCAAATGAAATGTCTTAGCTTTAGTGGACATTGGACTTTCCAAGAGTAAGCTTGAAGAAGCCGCTGTTAGAGTAGTTAGAATATTATCTCGATATGTTAGAGTAGTTAGAATATCCTTTGGATATGCTCTGCAAATATACTCTGTAGATCTTGTAGATTCCACAATCTTAGGAACTCTTGCTTGTATAAATAGGAGCTGTTCTCAGCTCTCATAATCATCAATATACACAATTCACATGGTATCAGAGCAGCGATCTCTCTAAATCCAAAAAGTTTCTCTTTTTTTTTGGGAAAAATGTCGAAAAATGCGCGAACTTTCAAATTTGGGACAAAAAAGCATGAACTTTCGAAATGTCATCTAAATCATAAAGTTTAGTTTAACTTTTGATAAAATGTTTAAGTTTTCGTTGACTTGGCCATTTCGGACATGTCGTTAAGTTTTATTTTCTTGTGAAACGACATCGTTTTGTTGTTTTTAAAACGACGTCGTTTTGATTCAACGAAGATTTCTAACGGAATGTTAACCCCGTCATCGTCTTGTTAACGGAAATTTAACGACATGCCTAAAATGGCCAGGTCAACGAAAACTTAACCATTTAATCAAAATTCAAACTAAACTTTATAATTTAAATGACATTTCGAAAGTTCATGCTTTATTTGTCCCAAATTCGAAAGTTCGCGCATTTTCTAACATTTTTCCTTTTTTTTTCCTTCCTTTCTTGCTTATTCTTCTCTTTCTTTGCATCAATGGCTTCCGCCCCTGCTGCTATTTCCAACTCCACTGCTGTGATCGTTAACCCAAACGATCCACAGAACCCAATCCTCTCCGTGAACATGAGTACTGTGACAAGACTCACAGCCTCAAACTATATCACGTGGAGCCTCCAAGTCTCTCTGTTTTTGGATGGATTCAATCTGATGAAACACATCACAGATGAATCCTCCATTCCTCATCCAACGATCCAGGTCAATGACTTAACCACGCCAAATCCAGCACATACGGCTTGGGTTAGACAAGACAAACTGATCTTCTCTACAATGTTGGGATCCATCTCAACACCAATTCAACTGATCGTCTCCATGGCAGTCACCGCTCTTCAAGCATGGAACACACTTCGCTCTAACTTTGGTCGGCCTTCTTGTGTGTCTTTTTAGGCTATTCTCTTACTCAAAATGCCTATCTCTGTTTTAAAAGAAACTTCTCGTCTCTATGCTTCTCGACATGTAGAATTTTTTGAGTCATCTTTTCCTTTCAAAACACCAACTCTGTCCTCTCCAGTACCTATCTCTGTTCCGGACAGCTCTCCTCCAGTCACACCGCTACCTCCAGTTGTCACTCCCATTTTTAGTGATGCGTCCCCTGGCTTAGCTTCCTCATCCTCGACAAATCTTGGGAATAATGTAACAGACACTGTCATTACGCCGGCCTCATCTTCAGCCACCACTGCTGCAGACATCGTCTCAACTACATCTACTGTTTCGACCACAATTGTACCACATCCTGTTGTACAATCAACACATCCCATGGTGACTCGAACACAGAGTGGTATAATCAAATCAAACCCAAGGTATGCTCTAAGTATTGTTGCGACTCGTGATAATGACACTGAGCCTAAAACGCACCAGCAAGCTCTCAAAGATCATCGTTAGCGTGGCTCTATGTGTGAAGAAATTGATTCCCAAGTGAGAAACAGAACCTAGGATTTGGTACCTCCGGACCCAACGTATAATATTGTTGGGTGTCGCTGGGTTTTTCGTATTAAACTAAACTCTGATGGTACGGTGGATCGTTTCAAATCTAGGTTGGTTGCAAAAGGCTTCAATCAAAGACCAGGCGTTCACTATTTTGAGACTTATAGTCCAGTTGTTAAACATCCGACTATTCGTTTAGTTCTTGGACAAGCTGTTGGTCGTGGCTGGTTACTTCGTCAACTGGATGTCAATAATGCCTTTTTAGAGGGACCATTGTCTGAGGAGGTCTATATGGCTCAGCCACCAGGCTTCGTTGATGTCGACAAACCGGATTATGTCTGCAAATTATTTAAAGCCATATATGGGCTCAAACAGACCCCGAGAGCGTGGTATACGGTTCTTCGTGATTTTCTACTTGAAGCTGGGTTTTTCAATTCCGTAGCTGACATGTCGCTTTTCATACTTCACAAAGCTGGTATAACTCTGTTTGTCTTGGGATATGTAGATGATATCGTGGTAACAGGGAATTCTCCAACTCATGTTCAGCTATTCATTGATTTGCTTACTGCCCGATTTTCCTTAAAGGACATGGGTGCGCTCAGCTACTTCCTTGGAATTGAGGTTACTAGAACTGTTAATGGTCTTACTCTCACTCAAATGAAGTATATCAATGATCTTCTTCAACGCACAAACATGGTCTGCTGCAAACCCGTCTCCACTCCAATGGCTGATCATCCCACGCTTACAGCCACGACTGCCTCGGGTGTTCTGCTCACTGATCCAACAGAGTACCCGTCTATTGTTGGCAGTCTTCAGTATCTTCTTTTCACTCGCCCAGACATTGCTTTCGCAGTCAACAAGCTCTCTCAATTTACGCATCAGCTGCGTGAAGAACACTGGCTTGCTACTAAGAGAGTTCTGCGTTATCTCAGCAGTACTAAAAAGATGGGTCTGTTTTTCTCTGCCAACAGTCCACTATCTGTTCACTCTTTCTCGGATGCTGACTGGGCTGGGGATCAAGAAAATTATTCTTCTATAGGAGCTTACTTGGTGTATGTGGGTAAGCATCTCATTTCATGGTCGTCTAAAAAGCAGAAGACGATTGCTCGTTCTTCCACAGAGGCAGAGTACAAGTCGGTCTCAGCTACGGCGTCAGAGGTTGATTGGGTCATGACTCTACTTGGCGAGCTCGGCTTCTCTCCTTCCAATCCTCCGGTCATTTACTGTGACAATATTAGTGCCACTTATTCGTGTGCAAATCCAGTTTATTATTCAAGAATGAAGCATGTTGTAGTTGATTTTCATGTTATTCGAGACATGGTCCAGAAGGGTCTTCTCAGTGTGCGTCATGTCACTTCTGCTGATCAGCTGGCAGATGCCTTAACTAAACCGTTGCCTCATGCCAAATTCACTCCAATGTGTGTCAAGATTGGCCTTTCTACTCTCGGCGCATCTTGAGGGGGCGTGTTAGAGTAGTTAGAATATTATCTCGATATGTTAGAGTAGTTAGAATATCCTTTGGATATGCTCTGCAAATATACTCTGTAGATCTTGTAGATTCCACAATCTTAGGAACTCTTGCTTGTATAAATAGGAGCTGTTCTCAGCTCTCATAATCATCAATAGACACAAACATTCCGCAATTAAAGATAACCCATCTTGCTTTGCCGTAACTTCCATCACCGAGACATTGTATAAACTAGATAAAGAACAATACATTCTTTTTATTAATGTGTCAATACCATAGATAATATATGTTACATATGATATGATAATTGAGACACATAAAAATCGGAAAAAAAAAAACCTTAAAACAAATTCTGTGATTTATTGAGATCAGATTATTAAAACTGGAAAGAGATTGAAATTCTTGTTCTTTTAAAGAACTTCTTTATAAGATACCCACCAGGGCCGGCCCAAAAGATTTGGATGCCTAAAGCCCAAAAATTTTTTGTTGCCCATTTACCAACAAAAATACAAAAAAATGTTAAAATTTCGATATGATATGACTCGAACTCGCCACCTCCTGCTGATAAATGAGACAATAACCACTGAACTACGAGACTTTTTCTAACAAATGATGCCCCTTAAATTTAAAATATAATCTGATGCCTAAAGCACCTGCTTGATGGGCTTTAGGTCTGGGCCGGCCCTGATACCCACCCACCACTCACTCATCCAACCTGAGATACACATCAAACGTTTTGGAGGAGCTCTTTCTACTTGATTAGTACCCCTACCCACCGTCGGGCTAATAGGTTTGGTAACTGTCCTCTTGCTAGGTGATGTCAAGCTATGCACATTTCTCTTCCTCGAACTGACCCCTGTAAAGAGAACATTACTATTCACCGTTTTCTTCTCTGCCTGCTGCTCTCTTGGATTTTGCATCCTCTTTATTTTCCCGAATTTCATCATCCCGTACACCAACCGGATTATACACCAAATTAAACTCTTCCTCCTCCTGAGCATCTTCAGTCGCTTCTTGGTCCTCCCCCTCATCATTAGTCGGCTAAGATCCATTATAGTGTCCAGATAGTTCAAAGCCGGATCCTCAAAGATATGAATATCTTGAGCCATGAGTTGACTTAAGTCATCCGGAAACAAATCATGTTGTTTCTTTAAACCAATTGATGCCCCATCCCTTTCCTTCCCAACAGCCTCCTCTGGATCAGCAAACAAGGATTTGCGCACCATCTTTGAGGAGAGTATAACAATGGAATCCATTGCACCAGAATATGTCACTGTATTTCCGGAGTTAGTGCCAAGAAAGGGATCCAACAACCACTTCCCCTACTGCAGTATTCTGCTGACTTAACTGTGTTACTTGAATAGCCAGATCAGAACTTGACTCTTGAACATGTGCCAAAAAAAGATTCTTCCTTCCCTTCTTGAGTTTATTACTAAGGCTCTATTTGTAACGGTGATCACTCTCCTGAGGACATGAATTTTTCTTGTTATCCACTGCCTGCCCATGAAGCATTTAATTCTATTGTACCAACCCCACTCTAACCCGATGCACTTCTACTTGGTAAACCTTATGAGACAACACCTTTGTAACTTTGCATATTGTTGCCCATCTTCGGATACGTTGGAATTAGATCTGATGTTTGCTTCCCCTAATTTTTGAATCTTGGATACCTCATCTAATCATGGCACAGGCTGTGGCATTTCCTATAGAAGCCAAACAATATTTCATACCTCAGTGATTTCATAGTGGCAGTGTTCAAGAAAGCGCTAGGCGCTAAGCGGGCGGTGACCTAGAGCCTAGCGCCTAGAACGCCTAATCGGGGCCTAGGCGATTTTTAGGCGGTTTAGACGTTTATAACATAAAATATTATAAGTATGATATTATATATAAAAGTTATATAAAATATCTAGAAAAAAAAAACTAAAAATATGAAATCATAAACAAAAATTAGATAAATCATTTATTTATATTTATATTAAACAATATATGAATATTTATAACTATATATATAAATAAAATTTAATTAGAAATTAAAAAAATACATTAAACAAGTTCTATGTAATTTTAGGCGGTCAAGACGGTCATCTAGGCGTCGCATGAGAGCCTAGCGCCTAGTCGGGGCCTAGGCGACCGCCTAGACCGCTTTTTAGAACACTATAAGGATTCCTTCTTCTCGTACATCTATATATACATTTTGCAAGTACATTTGGAAAAAAACCCTTGGCCTTTAGACTTATTTACACTAGCATGCCACTAGATTTAATTCTTAAGATTTAAAAATATTTAATGAAAGATTATATACTTAAAACAACTGCTCTTTCGACAAAAAAAAAAGAAAAAAAACAGTTGCGCAAATCTTTCCAATAATCTTGATTAGAGATTATTTAATCAAATCTCTAAATCATATATTTCCTTAAATTCTATATTCTTCTTTGCTTTGGATTTGTGAATAAAACTATATTATAGATTGGTAATTATAAAGATTTGTAGAATATTCAAACGTGACAAACAATTATTTTAATAAGAAATTATTAAATTATATATGTTTAGCGGGTTAATCGTAAAAACACCAAAAGGTTAATCGTATAACTTACTAAACAAAAAACTGTAAATATCTAACATTGTAATATATCAAAATAAGTGTTAATCTCCTTTGACTCCTCCATGTGTAATTGCAATACTACGATACTAAATTATATTCTACGGGTTAAATCTAAAAACATAAATCATAAAATTTTAATGCTAAAAATTTATAAAAATTTAATGTTGCCAAGTAAAGAAATAAAATATGACCCCACGGTGTATCGCAGGCTAAATTTTACTGTGCTAGTAAAATGAGATCTTCATTTCCACCATTCTCGCCTTTGGATTCTGCTTCATCTTCAACAAGACATAAAACACAAACACCGTAAGCTACTTAACTAGCACATAACATCATCATATCATTTGACTTAAGAAACAAATCACTTCTTGCTGGTTTTGTTGATGAGAGACTTGTGGATGTTAGGGACTACACCTCATCCACTAATTGTGCCTTTGATGATTGTGTCAAGCTCCTTATCTCCTGTGATCGCCAAATACAAATGCCTAGGAGTAATCCTCTTCACTTTCAGATATTTGCTCGCGTTTACAGCTAACTCAATAACCTATGCAGTTAGGCATTCTAGGATTTAAGCCGCGTAGACAGCAACAGTAGCATCAAGTCGACCATGTTCAGATACTCTGGTCTTGATTTGCATATGAATACGACCCATCGGAAGCTGAAATAAACAAAGAAATTTCATGTTTCTTTGTAGTCTAATTTTATGAAATTTCACATTGATACTATTTCTTTGTTTATTTCAGTTTCCACTGGGTCGTATTCACAGGCAACTCAAGACCAAAGTTTCTCCACATGGTAGAGTTGGTGCCACTGCTGATGTCTACACGGCTTCAATCCTTGAATACCTAACTACAAAGGTTCTTGACTTGGCTGGAAACGCGAGCGAAAATCTGAAAGTGAAGAGGATAACTTCAAGACATTTGCAGTTGGCGATCAGAGGAGATGAGGAGCTTGACACACTCATCAAAGGAACAATTGCTGGAGGAGGTGTGATCCCTCACATCCACTAGTCTCTCATCAGCAAAACCACCAATGAGTGATTTGTTTCTTAGACAAACGATATGGTGTGACTTGCTAGTTAAGTAGCTTATGGTGTTTGTATTTCTTTAGTCTTGGATCGGAGAAGTAGTGTAAGTGCTAAGTCTTAAGATGCTTCTCTCTATATAACAAACTATCTGAGAAGAAAAAAAGATAGGAATGAAAATACGGACTCATCCAAGTAAAATGTAAAAAATGAAATAAAGTAGTTTGATTTATTGTTTTACTCAAGAAAGTTTTCTATTTTGCGACAAGAGACATGATACATCAACCTCACAAGTCGGCTTATGTGGCAAAACAAATAGTTTGCGTGAGTAAAATAATAAAGTCTATCTTCTTCAATTCAGGTTCTACATTTTTATTTTGGATGGATTTTTAGTTTATATTTCTTTTTTTCCTTCTCAAATGTTGGAAGAAGTAACTGATGATCGCAAAAGGAATACATAAGAGTAGACGTACTTTGTTGTAGTCTTCCCTTAGGTCAGATAAAAAGAAGTACATAATACTATCTAAACCGTGGAGAAAGCTGTGAAGATTTTGGAAACTGAATTCGTGTGGTCCTCTTACTTGTCTTTCATCAAAGATACGTAGTGGAATCATGCAAGAAGTGAATGATCATCTTCTTTGAACAGGCTTAATGATCTTGCATTGCGCTTCGAAGATGCAATATAAGCTTAATATATCATAACTACTAATGGTCATGGAATTCTACATTTTTTTTTTGTTTTGTTGTTGCTTGATTCGTTATCCACCTGATGATCAATGATCTTCATTGATGTTCATGCGACTTCACTCACTAATTCTTAGGCCCAAAGAATATTATCTATTGGGAAACATCACACATTACCGCATATGTCATTGTAAGATATCAGAAAAAGACTATCCAAACGATTCGACTTATGCATTAGTCACTACATTGGATAACTCCTCTTAGTTTTCATCATCATCTCCTAACTAGTTGATGCAAATTTCTACCTCAGCGTAGGGACATGCAAATTTCTATCCTCTTAGTTTCTCCTTCTCAAAAGTTTGGAAGCTCACTTCTTGAGATTCATCTCCTTCCTTTTAAACGTCATAATTTTAGGTCTCATCTCGTAGACGATAGGAGAAGTCCTTTGCTCCTAGAGTTTGGGTGCTATACAATTCACAGGGACATGCAATCCATGTGGCTCCTTAAAACCTAAACCAAGCATGCACAACTAGTGGACCATCTTCATATTCGTGAATGAGTAAAATCTCTTCACTGATGCATACTCGTGCGTCAAATTGTATTGACTTGCGGGTTTAGTTAAAGTTTCATTGTTATAAATAAGCCGTATAGGCCTAAAGTTTTATGGAATTTTTGATTGAGTTATGATATCTTATTAGATAAAGGTGAGTTATGATATGTTATCCTACCCGAAAAAAGAAATAAAATTTTACTAATCTTATTATATAAAGTTTCAACATTCTTAACAGAGCTTGTCATATTGCAAAACTGTATTTCACGAAATGCGACACATTTCAATTAATTAATTAAATTTTAAGACGTGTTTTAATATTTTTCAGTTTTGAAACTTAAATATGTTTATCCTTTTATTTCTTAAGAAAAACAAAAAAATGATAATGAAATATATATCTACGTAAATTACAATATGTAATTATAATATATATATATATATATATATATATATATATATATATATATATATATAATTATGAAAATAGTATCAACATGAATGTTGCATTAATTGTAGTCGTCATGTTTGAGTTATAAGACATTTAAGACAAGTGAATGATTCCAAAGTTTAGCTTACATAGTGTAGTAGTTTAGCAGAGATTTTTTTTTAAAAAACCTATAGGTTCTTTAGGGATATTTAGATAGAGTATATAAATTAAGATGAGAGTTACAACATTAAACTAACTAAATATATTTTGACTTATCGTTGGTTAAGTTTTAAAATAAAAATTAAAAAAGTAAAATTACGAAACCTTTTATATAAATAATCAACTCATAATTTTTTATACAATCTAAAAGAAAAAAAAAACATAATTTGGGGGTTTCAAACCCAAATATATGATAAGATTTACAGTTGGTTAAGTTGATATTTAATACGATATTTGTACAGTGGCAAAAACAATTACTACTTTTTTAATAAAATAATCATTTATCGATTATCCCGTGTATAACACGCATCCTAATCTAATTGATTAATAAAGTTGAGATTGTTGTCATATACGAATCACTTTAAGAAATGAAATTAACATTTAAAAGACATGAATTTCTATCAAATCAATAGAAGTCATATATCAACAAAACAAAAAAAACAAAACAGTCCCTTATCAAATTTCTATCTAACCAATTTGAGTGTATGTTGTGTTAATAAAAAGTCTCAAATAAACAAAACACAAAATAAAATAAAAACAACAAAACAAAAAAAGACAAGACGTACCGTACCGTTGACACAATGCATCCGTGCATGACTTATGTCAATTTTTTTCCGACAAAGCTCGTTGTATAAGCTCGTTATATCTATCTACTTTCATCACAGATCTACACAATAATTAACAATATATCTATTAAGAATAAAAAATAAAACAAAGAATAAAGACCAACCGATTAAATTGAAATCTATATCGTTTTGCTAACCGTATCGACAGTGTAATCCAATTCCACTAGAGAATTCTTTCAGTTTTTGTTTGCTTGCTTGGTCTTAAAACTAAATCAATAAAAGTTAA